AGAATAAAAGTTCTATAACAACACAGTTGTCTACTACAGCACAATACTCCCCCCCCCCCAAAAAAAAAATCCGCTACCCTAAACATCCTAAGCAGATACAAATAAATTAAGTATGTTTGTCAGGGTTGTATTAATATAAATATTGTATTCATAGATTGATAATGTACTTACTACTATGAGCAAAACGTACATAACATGAAAAAATGATAGAATGGAATCACCCAAGGGCCTTTTCAGTTTTATTTATATAAAAATAATATTCACGTAAGAATCTCATTTCATTTTTGAATGCAGATATTTTTACTTAATTTACATTGCATTTTCTCGTATCTTTTCTAAGTAAAATTTAGGGTGTTATATTTATACGCTCTTTATGCCACTATACAGGGTGCTACAAATTAGAGGTACGAGCATTGGTATCTTGGAAACCGTAATAGATACGAAGATGGTTAAATTGGAGCAAAGTTGCTCCTTGAGATGTTCATCAAGATGCCATCAAAAAAGTTTTAAAAATTTCAAGGATTGCTGAGTTTTTTGAAAAAAAACGGATTTTTTTGAAAATCAATTTTATTTTTTCCTGTCGTTAATTTTTAGAAAATAGAAAAACTAACTGCACATTGTAGCCACCTTATTAGGGCTATCTGATAGTATTTTTAGATTTTCAAATTAGCTGATAATTTGTGAGATACATATGCCAACTTAATTTTTTTAAATACGGACCTGCATTTTTTATTTGAGTTTAAAAGAACTTGGTCTCCTGAGTACAATAATATGCCATACATAATATATTTTTTTGTTTTGGACATTGGAAAACAATTTATTTAATTTAATTTCAAGTCCGGCTTTGCTTTTTTTTAATATTGAATCTATTCATCGTTGCAATACTGATAAGCTTTCAAATTTAACAATAACGTCGGGTAAAACATTAAATACGGAAAATCAAATGCACTAAAATAATACAAAATGATATAAAATAAATAATATAAACAATCAAATCATTTCCCCGGAAGGTGGATTGGAAATGGTAGAACAGTATAATGGCCAGCGAGGTTCCTGTCGTCCATAAGAAGAAGATATGTTCAAAGAGCTATAAATAAGATTGAACGAAAAATAAATTTGTGCTCCCGGGTGCACAAATTTTTATTTTCGTTTCGGTTGTAACCAAAGACATTATAAAGATAGACCGAACATCTCATTCATAAATACTCGTTGGTAGTGTATCAAACATTCCAATGTGTCAAACAAGGATAGAAGAGACAGAGAAGTCTAAAATTTCCGACCCCGGTAACTAGGCACATTTGTATTGTTCTAATGGCCAGTGGCGTATCGTTTTTTGGAACGAATTAGTAAAGTAAAAGTAAAGTAATTAGTAAAATTTTTATTCCATATTATTATTACATTAACACTTTTTCGTCAGATGAGTTTTGTTATAAGGTCTAATATAATAATACAATTAATATCCCACATATACTTATGTTGAAACGTTAGTAGTTTTCGAAAATCGCTCAAACGTCGATTTTCAATTTAAACTTTCACACATTTTAGACATTTTTGTAAACATAGGTGGCCGGAACATATTTTCAAACCAAAGTTGTAGATTTGCCATTAAACTTCCATTCCAGAAATACCTAGGGTTGCCACTTGTCCTTTTTTGAAAAGGACAGTCATTATTTAGAATAACTTGTCCTTTTGATTTTTTTTTACTTAAAAAGTCATTTTTATTTACGTATTTTCCGTGAGAAAATTACCTACAGCAAACAGAAATATCTTTTTCGCCCAAATTTAATTAGGAATGTTATAAAACTTAACTTATAAATAAATTTTTCTTGTTTAGAATAGGCAGCATTATTTAGAACTTCCCGTTTAATCTCAAATTATAGTTTAGGTTTTAGTTTTACCTTTTTTTTATCTTAAAAAGAACTTTTCAAAATTAGTACCTAATTAGTAACGATTTAGTTAGTTCGCAATCGATAGCTTCCTGTGAAGTACTGTGTAATAGTTGTTTAATCTTGTATTATTAATAACTTCCTATACCTAAAATCAATATTTAATGAGAAAATTGTGTTTTTTTTTAAATAAGACAAGATTTGACTCTTTCGGTCTTCTTCTTGTATTATGATGGCTCTGATACGAGGCAATTGCCTTTTAGTCTCGCAATAGAAGGCATTTATCATTAAAAGTATAAAATCTGTGTGCTACAGTATGGGATTTCTGTCGCATAATAATGAATACCTATTACGTTTATTTACAAATCCATTACTTTTAAAGGTAGCTTCATCAGATAATCAAATTTTAGTTAAATGTCCTAATCTTCATGAACTGTATTAAGCATATGTATTGCGGTTTGAATCACCCTGTATGTTGACAAAAATATTTTGAAAATGTGTGTTACAATGACCCCCATCTTATGTAAAAAATTAAAATAAAAATCACAAACCAAAAACGTAATAGGTAAAAAGCTTTTTTGGAGGCCTGGGTCACTCTCTATATAGATATGTATAAAACTAGTAGCCTAAGAATTATTTACAGTTCGTCCCATTCTAAAAAAAGTTAAACACACCGTACAAATAACTCTAGGAAGATGTATTTGTACGGTGGTAAAAAATTGTCTAAACAAGGCCGAAGGGGCAGATATAAAAAGCAATAAAATGTAAAAAGGTTGGGTAAACACCTTTGTTTATTTGTTGAGCAAAATTCCTTTAGAATATCGTATATAATGACCAAAATAGGACGCAATTTTAAGAAAAAATGTCACTTTTCTGGCTTATAATAAAGTTTCAAATGTAACGTTTATATTCAAATTTGTTATGATCTACATCAGTTAGGTAGTAATTGAGACGAATTATAATTCAATTACCGGCTACTACGTTTTTGTTTTAATAGATCAAAATTCAACAAATATAATTAGAAATTATTTTAGTTGTGAGAGGCTCCCTTGTGGGACGCCTATGTACGATTACGGCGCGGCGGAAACAATGCCTACCTGTGAAAAGACAAATTCGGGTAATTTGAGCTTATTTGTCCACACATTTGACACTGTCGTACCATATTGAAAATTCGCAGATTCAAAAGTACATTAAACAAAAACAAAAACTACTGAAAAACACTGAAAAGTTCACTTCGGACTTGATTCCGACTTCAAACACACCGTAAGCTAAACGTAGTACGCTATAACGGACCATGGGTCGTCGCGAGGGGTGGTGAGACGGACGGCTCATTTCATTCTGGAAGACTAGCAGCGACGTTGCCAATAGTTCTAGACGTTTCAGCACATTAAACAGTAAACATATCCTTTAATAGTAACGCATATATCCTCTGGTTAATAACATATTATTACGCATGCTTCTTTAAAAATAAACTATTACTTTAATTAAGAAATTGAGATTTATTGATATCCGGTGAAGGTTTTAAAGTCACCTTTTCTGCAAATCAAACTAAGTAGATAGGCGCAAATTTGATATGTGGCAATGTCGCCTTCTCTATCTCAGTTGGTTTTTACAGTCAACCTCCGAATGTTTGATCGGGTTAAAATGCATAATATGATGTCTGTTCTTCCTAAATCTATGGTCGTAACCCTTTCGAACATGTAGAGCATCAGAAACTAGTTTGTAGAATCTGATTTATTTATAATAACTACCATTAATATTATGTATATTATTAGATCGGACACTGAGATTTCAAATTCATAATAAGAAAAGTTAAAAATAATATCTTTAAATTGCTGACCTGGATCTTATTTATTCTTCTTTAGAATCTCTATTCTTATCTTTCTCTTCTTATTCTTCTCTTTCAATTTTTCCCGATTTTCCTTATTCAATTTTAATTAGCGCTGATCAATATTATTGCGATGAATATGATCATATTAAATAATTTAAAAAACCAGAGTCGGACTAGAAATTATTTTAAATAATAATGAAATAGTTTTGTTATTGTTAAGGTACCCAAAACAAAAGAAAAGTGTCAAGTGTGGCTTATCATGTGTGGCTCATGAGACCGAGTTCTTTCAAAACTTGAAATACAAAATGTAGGTACGTATTTCAAAAAATTAAATTGGCCTCTGTGTCTCACAAATTATCAGCTAATTTGAAAATCTAAAAATACTATCAGATAGCCATAATAAAATGGCTATGAGAATGTGCAATTAGTTATTAATTCTCTAAAGAGTAACGACAGGAAAAAATAAAATTGTTTTTCAAAAAAATCCGTTTTTTCCAAAACACTTGGCAATCCTTGAAATTATTAAAACTTTTTTGATGGCATCTTGGTGAACATCCCAAGGATCAACTTTTGCCCCAATTTAACTATCTTCGCATCTATTACGGTTTCCGAGATACCATTGCTCGTACCTTGAATTTGAAGCACCCAGTATAATTACTTAAAGCTTTTATAAAAGTCTGCTGTGTATTTCGCCACTGTAAAAAAATCTGCAAAATAAAATATTTTTTTTATAAGCACCGCTGCGTTTATCTAACGGAGATTAATTTGTCAGTGGTATTTTACCAAATTTAAAAAGATACGTTAATTTAATTTTAATAAGTTTTTTTATTGGTAGTTCTCATTGGAATTAGGTAGTAAATTTATACCTAATGACTTATCTTAAAACTTTATCAGCAAAATAAAACACTAATAATTAGTGTTATTAAAGAGAACTATTCACCACAATACACTAGAGAATACTTTACTTAATACGTTACTGCTGAGTTTTAATCATCTGCTAATGAACTACTTACTTACATCTGCTTACTTAATCATCTGCGCGTTAGCGCATTTATTTTGCAATGAAGCATCAAATGAAAACACGTTTAGTCAAAAATGCTTGTGGCTAAAACTGTTTCTCTTGCTGTGTGCATCTAGTTTTACCTCGAGTTTTACGGAATCATATGTTTTGATGCTATTGCGTATCTTGTAACAAAAAAGAATAAACATATGATTTATGGTAGAACATGACACATTTATGTAAATAATCCACAATAGTGTATTCATTCATTAAACATTTTCAGGTGAAAGACTTGGTTCCCGACAAGAGCGAAATGAAAATAAATCTATCAAATAATTCACTAAGACATGTAGATATTAGAGGTGGAAATACGACAAGTAGAAACTGGAAATTGGATTTAGACATCTCAAAGAACTACGTGAAATGCGACTGCGAAAAATTTAGTTTGACCAAAGACAACAAAAAAGCATTTAGCGCGCTTCAGCTGACATATAATCAAAGTTTCTGTAGAGACAAATCGTGGAAGCAAAGATGTCCTTTAGTGAAAATCAGGAATTGTCCCACTCCGTGTGATTGTTACTATCAGGATAAAAAATTAGCCGTAGTTGTTGATTGCTCAGTAAGAAATTTAACGAGATATCCTGTGGTGCATAACGTTGAAACCGTTGACAATCAGTTCAAACAAAATCAGACTGTAGTGTATCTGAGTGGGAATCGTTTGAATCTTGAAGGACAGATAAATTTGGAAAGCTACGCAAACGTTTCCATTTTGGATTTATCACACAATGAAATTACAAAAGTGAACTGGATACCTCAACATGTGAAGGTGAGCTTTCTATTTTTGATTTATTTACTATTAATAACACTGGTCTGCATAAACAATATTTTTCTCGAGCCCTGGCACTATTCCTGCTGACTCTTTTACATCTTAGAACATCAGTTTATACGAACTTTTTATTTATGCATATCTGCAGGATATGCTGCCAAAGTTACTCTATTAAAAATTATATTAATATTATTACCTTTTATTAAAAAAAAATAATAATAACTTAAGGACGCAAATCTACCACAATATTTTCGTATTTTTATATTAAAACCATGTTGTTTTATTTTATCTAGTGGCTTTTGATATTAAATGTCTAATAATACAAATATATAATTAATAATAATTAATATTATGATCAATAATAATTCAATCTAGAGTTGGCTCCCGTATATAGCGTTTAACGCCTTGGAAGTGGCAAGGTACTTAGTGGTTTGCCATGCTAGAGCCGTTCTGTACACAAGGAAGGTAATGAGGCTAGCGGTACGCTTCAACCGCCTATCATTACCTCAGAAATTGTGAATCACAAGTACTCATTTAGTACGACCTACGTACTTAAATTATTTGTATTTTATTAGAAATACTTGTTTCCAAAATGTTTCGATTTAGCGCTATCTGTATAGAAATTTCTACACAGAAACTAGTCACCTTTCAACAACGCGAATCAAAACTTCTGGTCAAAATAATTAAAACATATTTATACCGGGTGCGTCTCAAAAGTGACTCACCCCTATAACTTTTTTTATTTTTTTCTGGTAAAACAACGATACCTATGTGATATGTTAGTATATGACATAAATTGGGATTGATTAACGTATTCAATTGTTTTCGGTCACTTCCGGTTTCACCGGAAATGACTACAACTATTGATTTTTAAATGGCACCCTCGGTATTTTTTTACTTTTATTCGATAGAAAATGACACTCTCAATCGAATGACATATCATATGTCAACTTTTGACATTTTGGCATATGGTTTATTTGAAATTGTAACATGAGGTTCATAACGACAATTTGACTCAAAATATCAAGTGTGTGGTATCAAATTACTCGTAAAAAAATGCTTTTTCCAAATATGCTAATGAGCCACCCTCGTTCCATGTAAAAAAAATTGAGATATGATTAAAAATACAATTTGGGCATCTTTTAACCGGCCAGGACAAGACACTGAAAACATTAGACGATCAAATCTATTTTTCCAAGGCTCCTTGATTAAAAATTAGTGTTTTTTCACAGCCAACTCTAGATTGAAATTTAAAATAGAATTTGTTTTTGAGTGACTATGTCAAAAATTGACATATGATATGTCATTCGATTCAGAGTGTCATTTTCTATCGAATAAAGTAAAAAAAAGAGGGTGCCATTTAAAAATCAAAAGTTGTAGTCGTTTCCGGTGAAACCGGAAGTGACGGAAAACAATTGAATACGTCAATTAATCCCAATTTATGTCATATACTAACATACCAAATCTCGTTGTTTTATCTGAAAAAATAAAGAAATTATAGAGGTGAGCCACTTTTGAGACGCACCCGATATACTTATTATCCCTTAAGTACTAACACCCCGTCTCACAGACGCAAAGGACTAGCTGGACGTATGACATCTCCTCTCCTCTCCACTTCTAATTATCATCCAATTATGTAATTTCAATACGCATCAAAACAAGTTAAAGGCCGGCAGGGCAATTTGCGAAAGTGTGTAGTTTTCGAAATATTTTAGTTCAAACTGTCGATGCCGTCTGACAGACGGAGTGTTGGCGTTAACGTAAGTTTTTTTTTTAATTTGTGGAATGAATCAAGAACCTAGAAGCTCAAAACATGTAAAGTATGGCAAGAAAGATTACAAGGATACTCTTCTAAAGTGGTTTGAAGGGACTGGCAGCGATAATAGCAAAATAGTGACAAAGAATCCGAATGTGGGGAAAATTTTGCCATAGAGAGCGATCATAATTCTGAATTCGAATTAGAAGGTAAAAAACGGGTTTTAACTAATATCTAATGGTATGTAGCTGTGTATGTTTTGATATAGATGATGAAAATATGGATGTGAACGATCAGTAAACTAATATCGAAGAAAGTGAAGAGAACAATTTGTTTGGAATGCGCAAAAAAGTGTGTAGGGAACAAGCCCATCTTTAGGCATTGTCATTTTTTTATTCTTTATATTTTCTTTTCCTTTTTTGTGCTTAATAGATAGGTTTTTATATGCTAAATATAATAATCAATATATTTTTTCATTTTCCTTTCGCTTTTTTTTCTATCTCGATGAGAAACAAAGATATGGTCAAAAATCCAAAATTAGTACTTTTATTTCAAAAATATAAAACATGTTCGCATAATATAAGCATTAGATATTTTTTTCCTGTAGTTTTAATGCTAATGATTCACTCCACTTACAAAAAATCTGTTAGACACGAACAAAATATGAATTTTTTTTAATGCGTCTCTCAGATGGTCGGTCAGTATAGGCGCGACTATTTCAATATGCTAGTACTTAAAGGTTATAACACAATTAAAACATAAAAACATGTATTCCATTGTGAAAAAAACGTTTGCTGGTAACATTTTTCTTCGGTCTCCTGTTGAGTATGGGTAGTTGGTATTGGCTGTTATTGGCGGGTATATGGATGTTATTACATTTATTACTAAAATAAGTCATCTCTGTAATGCGTATAATAAATTATTATAAAATCGCATAAAAAATATCTGTATTTGTACTCACCATATGCCCTTCCTTCTGCTTTTTTAAGTATACTACTATAAAAACTTGTAGAATGCTTAAATGCAAAAAGTGCAGAACAAAATCCAAACAATTAAAGTAAGGTTATGTTCTCATATTTGATGGAATATCAAATAAATTATGGACACTTTTCAGGCATTAAACGGGTACAAAATCTTTGTATATGTGGGCCACATCTGTTCTTAAAAGTTTTGAAAAATTTGCCACTGAGATCTTTATTGTTATAGAAGGGTTATGGCTTACGTAGTGAAACCATATTTTGGTAAAATGTTTCCCAACAAAAAGAGATTTACGTTACGAAACATATGTGTCAAAAATGTGACACAACTGTTTCACAATGTTTCCCAGCGGAAATTTTGTTTAGATTTTGTGTATAAAAATTCTACTTGGGGAGAATGAAAAGAAATATGTTTTATTGGGTATGTTTTATTACAGGTGCTACACTTAGAAGACAACAAGCTATCAACGCTGAGTGATAACGTTATTACTACTTTAAGGAATGACGTATACTTAAATAGGGTGTCTTTGGGAAATAACTCATGGATATGTGACTCGACAGCAAAAAAATTACAAAAGTTTCTAATAGAATTTAACAATATAAAGGTAATATATTTGCACTGGAAAAACAATTTCATAAAATCTAATTGTATTTTTCTTTTAAACTAATAACCAGTTTTACAAGTTTAAAATTCACAATCACAAATAAATATTTCACTAACAAGTAATTCAATTCTTATTTAGCAATTAATATAAATTAATTATTTGATTACAGGTTGATCAATCGGAGGTGATATGTAATAAAACTGGCGAATCTCTAGTGTACATGAAGTTGTACGATCAACAAACCAATGCCGTAATGATGATTTTTCTTATTAGCGTAACTATAGCACTAGCTCTGATATCCATACTTACGATGCTCTACTACAAATATAACAAATCTATAAAGATATACTTGTATTCGAAGAATTTATGTTTGTGGTGTGTGGCGGAAGATGAACTTGATAAGGGGAAAGATTACGATATCTTTATAAGTTATTCGAATAAGGACGAGGAGTTTGTTCAAAATAGATTGTTAAAAGGTAAAAACATTTAATCTTCTATTTTTATACATTTAAAACTCTTATTACGTGACGTATCAGTATTAATTAGTGTTCATTTTGAAAACACAACATCAATAATTCGTTATTGATTAATGTTTTGGTGTTAAATGTTATAAATACATACAGGGTGAGTTTTCTACGATGTTCTCTATGGGTATCTCGGAAACTACTGGAGATAGAAAGTCGGTTAAATGGGGAAAGAATTGCAGTTTTGTGTTCTATGTCAAAAATGACAGGCTTTAGAAAAAGTGGCGGACACAATCTCATTAAGAATGTGATTACCTACAACTTTTATATGAAAACTTTTTGTCTAAAATAGCTTATAATGGAATTAGGGACAATTTTTAAAATAGCCAAAATTTGTTCGAAATATCGAAATATCTAGTAAGCCATGAACTTTTTCAAAAATCTGAAAGGCGCATATTTATGTCCCCACAAAACTGCAATTTTTTCCCCATTTAATCGAATCTCTATGTTCAGTAGTTTCCGAGATACCCATAGAGAACATCGTAGGAAATTCACCCTGTATAATAATTATTCATTCCTATATTAAAATTTTAATAGATTTTTATGTATTGTTACCATATTTTTAAATATATTCATTTTAATTTGAGCCATTTAGTTCTGTTATTAAATCTAAAAATGAAATAACTGGTGTTTTGGCAGTTGATGCGTCGACTTTTATGTTAACCATAGATATATGAAACAAGTTTAGATTGGAAAGTTCACATAACAACAATGTAAACACTATTTGGCACTATTCTTGCAACGGTTGCAACCCAAAGCTTTTGAAAATTTTGGAGCGGTTCGGCTTTTTCTGGAATTATATCGGCAAATATTATTTATTCAAATTTATTATTATTTTCTTTTAATTTAAAAATAAAATACAGTGTGTTGCATACAATAAACTTTATTTTATATAAGCACATGTATGAAATACCTATGAAATATTGGAAACCGACGTTATGCCACGATCCACGATGGTTTTTGCAGTTTACAGTTCACATCACAGCTTTTTAAGTTTTTAATGCCACTATTTCACAATTATCATGGGTTTGAGTAAATGAAACTTAAATTAAACTCACAAGATAGCAATAATTACTTTGAAAATGGACCCTTTAAACACTTTTCGAATTTTTTTCAATGGGAGCGGTTTAGATTTTGAAAGATTTTATAATTTTTGAAAATTCTGACTTTAGAATTTATATGATAGGACAAGAAAAAATTATATTTCTGTTTTTGTTTGTGGTTGTTCTTACCAACCGCTATAGCAGCGCCAGATCGCGTACCACGGTCGCGACCCAAAATAATTTCGCGTTCCAAAATTTTCACGGGCATTCCAATCTAAATTTATTTCCTTTATCTATGGTTGACAACTTAAGGTTGGCATTTGCCTGGTTTTGCATTGTTACCTGTTCAGTTTTAATTTAAAAATAGATGCACTTTTTCTTGAATTAGTTAAAATCGGTTTGTTCAAAACTGTTCAAATTTGTTCAGCATACACAGACTTTTAAAAACTCTAATTACGACTTCGCTGTAAAATTATCAAGGGAGCTAATGTTTGGACATTTCAAAATTTGCATGCCACTTCCGTTTCCAACGACGATGCACCACCCAGTATAATTCTACTGGTATTATTAATACTCTTCATATTTCAATTTGTATTTTTTTTTTATTTTATCTGTTTTATTTAGAAAAGAATGTGTAGAAGCAAGAATAATTTTAAATTGATTGTTTATAGTAATAAAATTAGTCGGGGGATAATAATATAGAGTAAACATTAATGGAAACCCTCTAATGAGAGGAAAGAGACACAAACCTCATAATCTTGTAAAAAACTTTTTATTTAAAAAAATATGAAAAAATATAATTTTAAAAATTTAATATGAACTACTGGGCCAATACACGTTTATTAACGGAGTACTGGAAGTGAAAGTAATTTTTATACCTTTGTGAGGGGTTCTTTTCTTGAAAAAAAAACTGATATTTTGCCACTGAAAGAGAAGTATAAAAAATAAAAAGCTATTTTTGTAAAGTATCTGTGTGTAGAATCCAAACGGAAACTAGTTTTTCAGTGTTTTTTAGAGGTAAAACAAATAGGCTTAATCGTAAAAAAATGCTTAAAGTTTCAAGGGGTATATCCTCTAGTATTTTGGTAGTTTAGACAGTAGATGTGTATTAGATGATGTATATGAGGCAAATGTGTTATGAGTAATAAAATAATACTAAAATAATTATGTTTTTGTTTTGTTTGTTAATAGCTATTACTCAAACAAATACTTGTGCATTATTACACCTCTCCTCCCCTTCATATCAAAAATAAACGGATGTCAAACGACTCTAAAGTCTGTCCAATGACTCGAGGGAAGATTTTAACAGACGGCAATCAAAAAATGACAGAAAATAAAATTTGCCTGTGAATTAAATTAATTAATCTGGGATCCTCCAGTTGGACAGACTCTATAGGGTGTCAAAAACATGTTTACCAAACTCCCTAATACAGATAAAAATAAATTTAATTATACCTATACAAGGTGTCCCAGAAATAAGTGCAAGTATTTTAACTTGTAGAAACAACTGTTCAACCCCAGAAACACACCTATGAGGTTTTTTTCGGGCAAATTTTTGTTTTGAAAATTCGGAATTTTTTGAAAATTTTTTTGGATTTTTTTTAGTTTTTAGTTAACTCGCGTATGTTTTACGCATCTGTTTAAGTACTCGCGTATGTTTTACAGATGTAAATACTCGCGTAGTAAATAATAATTAAATAATCATTAGTGAAATGGGGGTATTTGAATGGTGCATATTTATACATGGTTTTTCATCACATACGACACGGAGTATTGTAGCTAAACAATGAGATTTTTACAAATTGTAAGTTTGGGGTTCGTTGAAGGACTATTAGAGCTACAATTTAAAAATATTTTTACAAGATACAGAGTGTCCCAAATAAATAAAAAATATCAAAGTTGTATTTTTTTAAATGGAACACCCTGTATATTATTACATTTTTAGTTTCTACGATTAAAATAAAGGTAAATTTGATTAAGGTTTATTATACTTAAACCTTACCGTTTTTGAAATATTTTCAATTTTGTGAAATTGCAGTAAAAATTTTAAAGCTTCATTTCTCCAAGGGTATCAATGTTTTTAATACTAAATATTTAATGAAGTTTATTTATTGATCAGTTATTGTGTTGCAATAATAAAAATAATACTACCTTATACAGAGTGTCTAAAAATTTATTTTAAATAATTATTAGCTTCAAACGGCAATAACTTCTTTAATTTAAATGGAATGCCCTGTATATTTTAGGAGAATCAGATGCACAATTAAATTGTCTATCAAATTGTATTATACCATTTTTTACCTATCCCTTCAAGTTTTCGTATAAAATGCATTTTCTTATAATTTAGACCTCATTTATCAATATATCAATGGAATATTGACATTTTAGATTGTTTTTAAAGCAACAAATGTACAAAATGTACAGACTAGTAATATTATCGTTTTTAGCAAAACGATAATATTACTAGCCCATTTGTATGCAAAAAGAAAACTATTTAAATCTTTATAAAAGAGTATACCATTAATTAAATATAACACCATTATTTGCGCCCATATACTAATTAATTACATACTTAATTGTGTTCGTTATTAAATTATTATAAATAAATGTGGATTTGAGTCAGAAATCAATATAATAATAAGTTATCAAATTAAAGTCTCTGTAGTTATAAATAAGCATTTATTAAAAAATGAAATATCATTTTTAAGGTGTTACTTTTTATCACACTGTCTAATGCCCATACAAAATTCAGTTTTTTAGTATTTGGAGCAATTATTATTAATCAAAGCAAACAGTCAGTTAATGTTGTTTGAATACTGGAATCATATTAACTGATCCTCTTTAACAAATATTTAAACAGTTTTTTTTTATTTTTTAATGAAATAAACGAATTATATCGACAATATTAATATTTGTACTCTTTAAAAATTTGTACATCTTTAAAAATAATCTAAAATATTAATAATCCATGGGTAATATTGATAAATAAGTTCTAAATTACAAGAAAATGCATTTTCTACGGAAACTTAAAGAGATAGGTAAAAAATGGTATAATATAATTTGATAGGCAATTAAATTGTGCATCTGATTCTCGTAAAATATACAGGGTGTTCCATTTAAATTAAACAAGTTATTGCCGTTTGAAGCTAATAATTATTTAAATATAAATTTTAGACACTCTGTATAAGGTAGTATTATTTTTTATTATTGCAAACAACAACTGATCAGTAAATAAACTTCAGTAAATATTTAGTATTAAAAACTTTGATACCCTTGGAGAAATGAAGCCTTAAAATTTTTACTGCAATTTCACAAAATTGAAAATATTTCAAAAACGGTAAGGTTTAAGTATAATAAACCTTAATCAAATTTACCTATATTTTAATCGTAGAAACTAGAAATGTAATAATATACAGGGTGTTCTACTTAAAAAAATACAACTTTGATATTTTTTACTTATTTGGGACACTCTGTATCTTGTAAAATTATTTTTAAATTGTACCTCTAATAGTCCTTCATCGAACCCAAAACTTACAATTTGTAAAAATCTCATCATTCAATACTCCGTGTCGTATGTGGTGAACAACCCTGTATACTAAAATAAATTAAATAGGAATATTTAGGCATTGAATGAATATGTAATACGTTTATCTTAAATAAAAGTTGCTTACATAAATGGTTTATATGAAGATTTATTTCTAAATGCCTATAATCGCAAAACTTATACCTAGTGCGGCTAGACCAAAATTAATCATTTTGAGAACGTCCATTACACACATTTTTGTGAATGTCTGAACATATAATATGTTGAACATATTAATCTGAACAATTAAAATATATTTGTTTTTAGTGTATATTTTTTGACCTAGGGCATTTATAGCCTTCATTTAGCTCGAAACGTGAACTGTTTTTAAGATATTTGCATTTAAAGGTTACGATACGTCGACTTTAGGACTAAAAAAACTGTGAGATCAATCATGAACAACTGATCATAGATAAGTAGGAATACTTTAGTAGGAATTTGAACGGAGCATATTAAAATAATTATCAGTGTAGTAACATGCACCACATATGCTCTAAAAATTTACAGGATATGTTACAAGTTAGGGCTGTAAATGCTTGCAAGGGCTGTAACTTCTTCAGGCAACACCTTAAGGCATATACCAACTTTTCTTTTTATTTTTATCTTTAGTCAATTTTGTTTGTAAGGGGGACAACTTTTGCCCCAAAAATGATTGCAAAATCTTCAACCCTCTAAGCGGGGGTGTCATCCCCCAATTTTTTTCAAATGGGAAGGGGGGTTAAGTGGTACCGCAATGAAAAGGGCTGTCTATTCTCTATACTTTCCCGTTTTGTTTTTGAAAATCGGTCGAGTCATTGAGAAAATATGAAGGATTGAAATTTGAAAAGTTTATTTAAACATTTATCAGAGTAAATGATAAGGATAAATTCCTTCGACCAATTTGCCGTTTTTTCTTATTATTTCTAGATGCTTACGCATTTTTTCACTTGCCACAAGGTTGAACGATCAGGTTAGATAGAGTCCACTTTCTTTTTAAACGGTCTAGTTAATCGGCACAACTGTCGGTACTGGGCTGAGGACAAGCCCAGGGTTTTTCACGAGGTGCACACCCAAAACCCTCAGAAATTGAAAGTGTGGGCCGGTATTTTTAGAAATTCTATTGTGAGTCCTTTTTTTCTTCCTGGAAATCTAACAGGTGATATGTACTTGGATTTACTGGAAAATACCATCGACCCAGCCCTAACTGACATCATAGAGAACAATCCTGGATACGTTGAAGCAGAACTAATATTTCATCAAGACGGTGCACCTCCACATTACTCTCAAAATGTGCGTAATTATTTAAACAATAACTTTCCCGTTCGGTGGATAAGACGAAGGGGTGCAATTGAGTGGCCTCCCCGGTCACCCGACTTGACTCCTTTAGACTTTTTTCTATGGGGACACATAAAAAGTAAAGTGTATAGCACTCCACCCGCTTCATTAGAAGAGCTGCGAATACGAATTATTGATGTTCAATTTTAATACGAATTATTGATGACAAATTTCAATCTTTCATATTTTCAAAATGACTCTACCGATTTTTAAAAACGAAGTGGGAAAATATACAGAATCAAAAGCCCTTTTCATTGAGACGCCACTTGACCCCTCTTCCCATTTGAAAAAAGTTGGGGATGACACCCCCGCTTAGAAGGTTGAAGATTTTGCAATCATTTTTGGGGCCAAAGTTGTCCCCCTCACAAACAAAATTGACGTGTTTTTAGATTTTTTGAAAAAAAAAGACCCTGGCTGTTATGCCTTGCGGAACGTTTTCGATGGGCCACCCTGTATAGTAGATATAATTAATTCATAGAAAAAATAAATAAATAAAGTTAATTAAAAAATAAATATTTGTCTTTTTACAGAACTAGAACAAGGCGAAATTCCATTTAAGGTCTGTATTCACTACAGAGACTGGATGCCGGGAGAATTTATCAGCAAGCAGATTATCAATTCCGTGTTAAATTCCCGAAGAACTTTGGTTATTTTGTCCAATAATTTTCTCGAGAGCGTATGGGGTAAAATGGAATTTAGAACGGCTCATACACAGGCCATAAGCGAAGGCAGAGCAAGAGTAAGCAATGCATTTGAAATCTTAGATTGAATAAAGCAAAGATGTAGCATAATTTGTTTAAAATGTCCTCAAGATATACATATATAAGAATTGTTTTTTTTTTTGCCAAAGTATACTAGTTATAACGTTAAATTGAATAAAAATGTCTCTACTTCTGTGGCGGATTCATCTCTTCAAAAAATTTCTCTGGGTATTTCGGAGAGTAAATTTTTTATTTTGTAGATTTTCTTACAGTGCAAGTGACCAAATACCCAAATATTTTTTTTAAAGAGTACAATTTGAATATTGTTTATGTTTCTGCATTTATCTGTCCGTCTTTTTTGACGGCCAAATCTGTGTTTATTACGCATACAAAACTTCCAATGCTATTTTAATGTGGCGTTCTGTATCCTTTACTATATTTTAATCTAATGTTTTAGAATAGTATAAACATTTTAATATACACTCAGATGCAAGAAAACCGCAACGGAGAAATTTTTTATAGAGTTTTTTTATAGATATTAGGAGAAAATATAATTTTACGATCAGAACTATGACTCCTGAGCATTTTGTTTTTTGATTTATGTCACTACATGCTTTGGTTAATTTTTAATAGCGAAATGAACTGATTACGATCAATTTGCAATTTTTTCAATTATCATTACTTATTGATGTAATTTTTAATATGACGAGATGGTTTTGGTTACTACTTGTCCTAACGTCATATTACGCTTCATTGGATACTAAATTAAAAAAAAAACGTTAAAGACTAACGATACAGTCCTTGTTTTAATAAACATTAATAACGATAACAGAACTAACGATATTAAAGAAAACATCTGAAGGTAATACTCAAGTATACAAACAATGAAAAAATGTAAAAAATACCGTAATACTTCGTATTGCCTCCCTTGGCTGCTATAACTGGCTGTGTACGTCTATTCATACTGCCATTTAGGCTGCATATACCATATTGCGTTATGCTTTCTCATTCTTCTTTAAAAACCAACCGAAGTTCATTGAATGAAGCTGGTACTGCTTCGCGACTTCTAACCCTACCGCCAAGCATTTGACTACCGTCGAATATGATGGGCGATTTATAATAGTATATTATCCACAATAATCACCAAAGTCACCGTGTCATATCGTAAAATATCTTAAAAAAGAAATGATAATTGAAGAAATTGCAAATTGTTGGTGTCAAGTTTATTTTGCTCTTAAAAATTAACCAAAGCATGTATTGACATGATCCAAAGAAATAAAATGCTTAGAAGACGTGGTTTTGGCCGTAAAATTATATTTTAGGAAAAAAAAATTGCACAGAATCTTTTAAATTTATGGTAAAAAAACAACTTCTCGATTAACCCTGTATAATATGCCAAATACTAATGTTTATAAAAAGCTGAATTTACAAATTAAAGTTGATATAATTATATACAGCTCGCTAAAAAAATTATGATTATAGGGTTAAAAATTACAAAAATATAATACTTTAAATTTGACCAAAAATTTCTCCGATGTTTTTTTTGCAACCATTCCTGCTGATGTAAAATAACGTTGTGGTTTGGATCTATGATTGTACCTCCCATTTTCTTCTACCACCCACCCTTTTCGCGGGAGCTCCCCTTCTCTATTTTTATCACTTTCCAATATTATCCATTTTTCCTCTTGTAAAGACAATCCGGGGACATACTCTAGAGCAAAATGTAATTACCAACATTTTTAGGTTATTGTAGTGATTTACGGTGAACTAAACGAGGATAGTTTAGACGAAGAGATGCAAACTTATTTGAAAACGAACACTTATGTAAAATGGGGCGACCCTTGGTTTTGGAACAAGTTGAAGTATGCTTTGCCCCATTCAAAAGCAAGGACTTTATCACGAGGAAATTGGTACAAACATAATCATCCTGTTAATTGAACAAATAGAGAAAGACTGTTACTTTTATTTAAATTTGATTAGATCTCAAAACATATACTGTGTATATATGCTATTTTATAAGGATAAGTTTGAGTTTGTTTTTAATGTATTATATGTTTCGCTTAAAATTAATATTATACGTGTCAGTTATATGAAATCAAAGAATATTAAAATATTCTTTGGTGAAACTAAACGAGATTTGAACTCATTTAAGTAATGTATATTCGTAAAAGTAATAAGCGAAGTATACGTAAATGTATTAATGTACTTAACAAAAATATTTTTTTAGAATGTTCTACACATATATCTACACATATTATCACTGTATATTAAATAAAGTAGATTTTGAGTATTTTATTTAATAATATCCTTGTATATATAAACAAGGATAATATGCTTAGGGAAGTGGCGGTTTTTCAATAAGAGCACATGTGCACGTGAACCTTCAAATTTAATGCCTGTTATTGAGAAAAAAATAATTTAAATTTTATAATTTTTTATAGTATTTATTCCAAAATCGTTTCATCTTAAAGTGCGTATAATAAACATTAGTTGCGTATAATAAACATTAGCACTAATATACAGTCATCTGCTGGATCTGTGTCTATGAAAGGAATGCGGACAAAAAACATTTAAATAAACAGCAATATATTTTATACGTCGACTTGACGAGTACGTCACCGCAAATCGCTCCGCCCACTCATTTTATTGGCCACATGCAAATTTGTCGAATTTTTATTGATGGGACGCGTCGTCTAATTTTTTTCGAAAAACATCGAGAATATCGTTTCCCCTCTCACGGATACCGCGTAGCTACAGAACGGACAGACGTACTGTACATTAGTGTGCTGCACCACAAACGCGCGGCGCACGCGCACTGATTCGCCTTAATGTGAAAATAATAAAAATTAACTCGCCTTCTGCGCGCAAACCGCTTGCCGCGAACCATCTCCTGTCGGTTTTTCTGATAAAAGTGCTAAAAAAACCTATAATTTTTCGATTAAAAAAAGGTTCATCTGAAATTGCCAGAAACTCTCATTTCCGGCGAATTTATGGTAGCCGTTAACAATCAGCCCTATTTGTAAAAAATTGTTGGAATATACCGAATATTACAAAATAATTAATGCTGATTCCGAGGTTGATTCAATATAAAAGGTGGACCGAATTGTAATATATATCCTAAAATACTTCGTTTTGGATATACAGGGTGTAGAAATTTCATCTTTATTTAGGTTTTTCCAAATATTTTCTATATTCTAATAAAAATTTCTATTAATTAACGTCGATATTTGGGTGTAAATTGGTATATGGATTTTCTTTTACATGAGAATTTCAATGCTAGTAAAACTTCCACTTGCAGGGGTCGCCACCTACGTGTTTTTTTAATGGTTTTGAGGAATAAACATTTTTTATTCGGACCTGTATTACACTATTGAGAAAAAAGATACATTTCCGTTTATTTAACGTATATAAGAAATGTCTCTTTGTAAAAGTCGGTACGAGCAACCGTTCTCAAGATATTTGGAATCGAAATAATCAATACATGTCACCACTGACAAAAATAAACATGTTGACTAGATAGTTATTAGACTGAAATCACAGATAAGATAGCAGTTATACATATAGTGATATTTAACATGGTGTTATCTGTGCTGAAGTAATAAATTTGATTTTTTTGTGTCCAAGGTTCAACAGAAACTGTTTTATCATATATTTTTCTAAAAAAAATGATAAATTTGAAAAGACACATGTATTGATTATTTTGATTCCAAATATCTTGACAACGGTTATCCATTGCGGTTTGGTTTATTTTTTTGCTCAGTAGTTTTATACAGGTCTGGTATACGGACCAAAAGTTATTAACTCTTCAAAACAGATAAAAACATGTAGGTGGCGTTCTCTATAAGATATTTGGAATCGAAATAATCAATACATGTCATCACTGACAAAAAACGTTGACTAGATAGTTATTAGACTGAAATCACAGATAACATAGTATCTTATCTGTGCGGAAGTAATAAATTTGTTTTTTTTTGTGTCAAAGGTTTCACATTTTTCTAAAAAAAAATATAAATTTAAAAAGGAACATGTTGTATTGATTATTTAGATTTCAAATATCTTGACAACGGTTGCCCATAGCGGTTTTTACCGAGATACATATTTTACATAAAAAAGACGAAAATGTATATTTTTTCACACAATAGTTTTATACAGACATATACGGACAAAAAGTTATTAACTCTTCAAAACAAAAAAAACATGTAGGTGGCGTGTCATATTACCAAGTAGTATATACCAAGTAGGAGCCATATTGACATCGAAATCCCAAATATCTTATGTCAAAAAACATCCAGACACCAATTTTTATTCAAATATCGACCATAGTTTAGAAATTATTTGGAAAAAACCAAAATAAAAAACTTCTAAGTCCTGTAACTTTAAAACAAAGCAATTTAGGACATATATTTATTATATATTTATATTAACTATTTTATTTATTTTTACATGGAGAATATGCTGCCAAAGTTTCCTGAATACAATTCGGACCACCCTGTATGTGAAATAAGTAAATTGGTAAGTTACCGAAAGAATAGAAAATATGTATGTCATTTATTTAATTCTCATACAGAACACAAAAACTCATATTTTATTATGATCTGTTGAAGAGAACACATGGTGAATACAGGTTGAGTCTTAAATAAGAACAAATATTTTTAGGAGTAGTATATTTTGACCCCAGACAACAATTATGAGGTTATTTTCGCGAAATAAAATGGTTGAAAATTTGGAATTTTTTTGAGTTTTTTTTAGTTTCTAGTTAAAAAGCATAATTTCTTGATAATATGGCAACATAAGTAGTAGATTAAATTTACAAAAAAGAAAACCCAGAAAAAATCTACCAGCCCTGAAAATACTTGCACTTATTTAAGACTCACCCTGTGTATTACATAATATTCATTTACTTTTTTTCTTCTGATTTCCAGTCTCCATTGGTCTCTGTCTGTCCAGAGATTTTCGTCTATTCGTTCTCGAGTCGTTTCCCTCTCTTTCTTTTACCTGTTGTGTCCAATTGAGTATTTTCTTTGGGATTCTGCTTTCTTCCACTCTTGGTAAGTGCACGTACCTGAGTGCCACGTACCACCTTGTACGTGCCCGTACTACCATATATAACAACAATACACAAGAAAGGAAGTAAATACGATTGCGATAACTATCGAGGAATCTCCGTCTGAGCTGTGTTTCAAGAGTCTATGGAAAATTGGTCAAAACGAGAATTGAGGAACAATACCGGGATATGGAGGCTGAAGAACAAGCTGAACAAGATGAACAAGAAGAACAAGATGACAAGATATCATGAAATACATCTCCTCTACGTAGACCTCAAGAAAGCGTATGATAGTGTACCCCAGTCTAAATTGCGGGAAGCTCTCAAAAAACTAATATCAGCATAACATTAATTAAGCGCTGTCCAAGAACTTTACATACATAAATACCGCCATTACTCGCTGACGAGTATTTGACACGCATCAGAAGATGGTCACGCAAGGCGTTTTCTTTCATGAGCTTTTCTGTGACTGAAAAGCCCGATACGTGATGTTATCTGTCTACCGCACTCCGGACATTCAAAACTCTCATTGCTTTGTTGCCTCTTTACTTTTTGGTTGTCGCTCTTAACTGACTTTACAATTCTTCTCCATTCCGTTCTATTGTGAACTGCCTCTTCCCACTCATTCTGCTTGTTAATTTTCTTTAAGTTTTCGTGGAAAATATCCTTGAACCTTTTGAGTTGTCCATCCGGCCTCCTATTACCGTCTACAAGCACACCGTAAAGCAGAGATTTTGGTATGCAGTTTTCTTGCATTCTGCATACGTGACCAGCCCATCTTAAGCGGGACTTTGTAATCATGACTTCAATACTCTCGCAGTTAGCTTTTTCAAGGACCGATACGTTTGAGACATGATGGAACCATTTTATTCTTAAGAGTTGTCTAAGATGTCTCTGTTGCAACTTGTTTAATGCGTTCATGTGTCGGCGGTATGGCACCCAGGTTTCGCTTCCATATAACATGGTGGGAATTATTATCGCTCGGTACACTGCACCGCAAACCAAGCATTTTTAAAGAACAACACTAGCCAAGTAAAGACAAGACAAACAGTATCAAAGGGATTCAGCATAAACAAAGGTCTTAAACAGGGCTGATGTCTGTCCACGACACTATTTAAAATCTATTTGTAACAAGCTCTGAAAACGTGGACTAGGAAGTGCTAACAGATGGGGATACCACTAAATGATTCGATACTTTACACTTTTTGTTTCGCTGATGATCAAATAATACTGGCTCCGAGATAACGAGGACCTGGAATATATGACTCGCAAATTAATTGAAGAGTATAACAAATGGGGGCTGGAGGTAAATTTTAAGAATACGGAATATATGTGTATCGGCGGCGAACAACAACTTAATTCTAGAACAGCAACGGCAAGAGATAAAACTCCAAATGGCGAGCAATTAGACAACTCATACTTTTATGGGATAAGGGAGTATCAAAACAAAACAAAGTCAAAATTTATGACAGCATAATTAAAAGCATTATTAGTTATGGTAGTGAAGTATGGCCTTTAAAAGAAAAAAAAATCTTAAGTTGCTCGAAGCTACAGAAATGGACTTTTAGAGGCGCGCGGCCGGGAAATCGAAACTGGATAGAGTAAGAAATGGAAAGAATTCAGAACATCATGGGCGTTAAACACAGAATAACAGAAGACATCAAAATTAACATAATCTTTTTATTTGACTTAATACATTCGGTTCTTGGAACAAAGGCTTTTCATTTGATTCGCCCATTTCTAGTACATAAATTACAGAACATCGTTAGATCCGTAACAGTTCTGAACAGCCTGACAAATATATGGCATCGGATTATTACACCCTAAATCGTTCCATCCATTTGGTTCAGGACTATACGTTGGCATACCGAGTTGAATACAATATTCGCCTTCGTACTTGTTGTACTCGGTTTTGGCATTATCAGGTTGACCGCGCAGCCAATCTGTATAAATAATTTTCGTTCCCGTTGTTGCCCAGTAGTAGTCACCGTTTCCCAATCTTGTACCTGCTAACCAATATCCATCTAAAAATTTATTAGAATTAGTTATTATTAGGGTTAATTTGTGTTTGAGAGTTTGTTTTAGAAAAAAAGTATAAAAAATAAGAGTATACAGAGTGCTACAAATTCGGGGTACGAGCATTGGTATCCGGAAACTGTAATAGATACGAAGATAGTTAAATTGGGGCATAGTTGCCTCTTGGATGTCCACCAAGATGCCATCGAAAAAGTTTTAAAAATTTCAAGGATTGCTGTGTTTTTTAGAAAAAGCTTTTTTTTTGGAAAATTAATTATATTTTTTCCTGTCGTTACTTTTTAGAAAATCAAGAAAATAATTGCTCATTCTCACAGCCACTTCATTAGGGCTATCTGACAGTATTTTCAGATTTTGAAATTAGCTGATAATTTGTGAGATACGGAGGCCAAATTATTTTTTTTTAAATACGGACCTGCATTTTTTATTTTAGATTTTGAAAGAAGTCTCCGGAGTACAGTGATATACCACACTTGATACTTTTTGTTCTTTTGGGTACTTTAACAATAACAAAACTATTTAATTATTATTTAAAATAATTTCAAGTCCGACTCTGTTTTTTTTTAAATTATTTAATTGGATTATATTCATCGCAGCAATATTAATTAGCGCTAATTAACATTGAACAAAGAAAATCGAGCTAATTGAAAAATTCAGATAAATAATATCCAGGTCAGCAATTTAAAGATATTATTTTTACCAATGACTAAAGAACCCAAGGATATGTAACATCCATATACGGGCTGCAATAGAATTTGTTACGTTAGACACCATCATTTTGGAGCCTACGTATGAGTCACCACCTCGTCAACAGCGACAATTTTAGCGATTTTCAATAATTTGTTGTTTGTAGTGAACTTTGTATAAACTTTATTACAATGGTGATGTGTTCAGCTTTCAAGTGTAAAAGCCGCAACGATAAGAAAGAGCTAGGAGTTGCGTTTCCATAAGTTAGTATAGTTTTTTTGTAAACCCTATTGTTAATCACACCGCATAAAAAAAATCTAAAATGGATAGGTCAGGTGATCGAGGAGGCCCCAACGACCGTTTTTAGAGAGGTATTTTAGATAACAATCGATATTTAGAAATTTTTAGACACCCTGGAAATACTACCACCGAGCATGTCATTGTAGCAACTTGCAACTGCGTTAATACGCCTGGCGGCGACCGCTTCATACTCTTTCAGATATTTAGCAATAAAATAAAGAAACCTGTTATTTTTAAGCTGTTATGTTAAGCTGTTTTTTATAAATAACTATAACAGTTTCAACTGTTATCTAAAAATAACAGTTTTGCCCATCACTATCATGGCTAACTAAGTGAAATTGTTTAAAAATGATAAGAATTGGCTATAACTCAGTAATTTTTCGAAGAAAACATATTATAGCTTATATCGCTAAAAAATCTTAAAAAATGGCGCTTTTTATAAAGTCATGGCCAACTATGGTTTCCATTTAAAAAAACATATGTTTGTGTCTTATGTCAAAAATGACAGGCTTTAGAAGAAAACGGAGGACACGATCTCATTAAGGATGTGATTATCTACAACTTTTATCTGAAAACTTTTTGTCTAAAATAGCTTATAATGGAATTAGGGACAATTTTTAAAATGGCAGAAATTTGTTTTTTTCGAAATATCTAGTAAGCCATGAAATTTTTCAAAAATCTGAACGGCGGCTATTTATGACCCCACAAAACTGCAATTCCTTCCCTATTTAACCGACTCTGTATCTCCAGTAGTTTCCGAGATACCCATAGAGAACATCGTAGGAAGCTCACCCTGTATAGTTCAAATGAACGAATCGATGGCCTCTACACTATCCGCGAAATTATTCGTAAAATCTTTTTGGAAGTATTACGCGAAATACACTTTGCAGAAGTGTTTTTTAACGTGTTTAAATTAATGTTTTTTATGTGATAATTATAATTAAATTTGAAAGTTTAGATCCCCTACGCACTTACCTTTGTACCCATTATCTGTCAGAAATTTTTGCAATGCTTTCGTTTCTTCTTCAGAATTTACACTAGCTAGTTCCAGACCTACGCCTTTGCAATTAATTAATGCTTGAAACCAATTGACCTAAAATTAAAAATAAAAATATCACTATCTATCTAATATCGATTTGTTATATTAAAATATTAATTGTGAGTAATAAACAAACTCAATTTCTGAACCATTCAGATTTTAAATAAACAGAATAAAATTTATTAAAGCTGTGTTTTTAAAATTGTATATTTTGTTTAGATACGATCATCATGGGTTGTATTATAATTCTAGCCGTTTATTTTAATATATTTTTTGGAAGATGTCAAACTAACAATATAAAATCTAAAACCTGTATATACCTTTATACATCTCCTGGACGAGCAAGGCGATCTGATGCTTTTGTATAAATAACAAAATAAAGACGATGGAATTTCCACAAAAAAAATTATTTTCCATTTTAAAAATTGTCTACCACTTAATATATTTTTTTCTTTTTAAGTTTCTTTTGTGGTATTCAATGACGTAGAATTATATAGTATCTACACAGGGTGTTTCAAAAAGCATATGCCATCTCTAGTAGACAGATTCCCGAGGGGTGTCTCACTATTGGAATTACATGTACATTTTCTTGGCAGTCGCTGGCAGTCATTGGCAGTCTTCTTCGCAGTCATTGGCAGTCGCTTGGCAGTAAAGTGATATTTTGGCAGTACATGTACATTTTTTACCCAAGTGTGACACCCCTCGCAGATTCCTCATGTAAAAATAAGATTAATTTTTCATATCAACATGGGTCCTATTCTGCTTTGTTTCGTAGCTACAGGAGGTTAAAGTCGTCAGTTTTACCGATTTATTATAATTTTCTTCCAAGTGCTTGTATAGCGATTCTAATGAAATTTGGAGGGTAAAAATTACTATGAGTGCTACATATTTTAATACTAGAAAAAGTGCCGACAGATTCACCAGTGACGTGCATATAAGTAATAACTGGAATATTTTTTCTAAAAAAACATGTGCGCCACTGACTTTTTTCTTCTTATTAGCAAAATTATATCCTTTAAAGTATGGTCAGTTAAATGCCGATTAGAAGTTGTCCATTTCGATCTCCGAGATGAGATAAACGCAATTTTATTAAATTAAAATAAACATAAAATTAATAGATTATTTAATTTAATTTATTACTCATTTTTGTTAAAAATTATAACACTGATGTACAGGGTGGGTCAAATTCGACGCTTTTAAATGGAAACACCCTTTTCTATAGGAGATAGACAAAAACTAATATCGGTGTCTGGAGCTCAATTTTCATCAAAAACATAATGGTGAAAACCGCATATCGATCTCTATTACCGTTTCGGAGTTACGGGGTGTTTTTCAAAAATATGCATGTTTAACAAATTGCTGTAACTTTTTTGCTATGAAAAATGTTGTATTTTTATGAAAACATTTCCAAAGCACCTTTTTACGTAGAATTTAATGGTTTAAGTATAATTTTTTTAAAATTAATAATTTAAGAATTATCAACAGAAAATTTGATTTTTTATATGGGACACCCTGTATATTTTTAATTTATTGAAAAGAATTTAAAATTACCTTTCCAAAAATATAACACACTTGATATTTTGCTGGATTCCTCTTCGAGATATAGAGTATATAAAAATTCGCCCGCTTTAAATAAGTAGGCTTTGAACGGCATCGGCTGTGATGCAAAAAACTTCTAGCTTTGAGCATCAATTAAAACGAAAATAATACTTGCTATGAGAGATGCAGAATTTTATAACCATTTAAAATATATTTATCCTACATCAACACATTTAAACTATTTCTAATAACAATTAAAATAAATAGCAAACCAAGACATAAAATTTTGCTACAGGTGCTCGACATATCGACCGTCTTCTGTTATGGACAGATGGGTCAGTTTTTGAACATTTCTCGCGGAATTCATTAACTCAGTGGGGGTGAAAGATACCCTCTCATAACTGCTAAGTGTTTCGAATTATTGTCTAGATTATACGGAAGAATAAAGAACCTTTATTGTTCCGCAAATATATCCATATGATTAGATCCATGGGCACTAAGTCAGGCGGCCTTGACGACCAACGGCTGGGATCTTGGTTAGCAATTCAATTATTCTTGAAATTGGCTGCAAAAATTTGCTGATAACTTCAGCGTTCGGAGGCGGTGCGTCGTCTTCCTGGAAAAATATGTTTTCGAGTTCCATTAAGGGCATATCATCAATAAGGGATCCAAAGCCTACTAGTTAAAATTGGCGAACTTTTCAAAATTCTGTATTTCGAAGAGGATTATAACAAAATATCAAGTGTGCTATATTTTTGGAAAGGTAATTTTAAATTCTTTTCAGTTAATTAAAAATATAGAGGGTGTCCCAAATAAAAAACCAATTTTCCTGTTGATAACTCTTAAATTATTAATTTAAAAAAAAATTATACTTAAACCATTAAATTCTACGTAAAAAGGTGCTTTGGAAATGTTTTCATAGAAATACAAAATTTTCCATAGCAAAAAAGTTACAGCGATTTGTTAAAAATGCACATTTTTGAAAAACACCCTGTAACTCCGAAACGGTAACAGATATTGATGTGCAGTTTTCACCATCATGTTTTTGATGAAAATTGAGCTCCAGACACCGATATTAGTTTTCGTCTATCTCCTATAGAAAAGGGTGTTTCCATTTAAAAGCGCCGAATTTGATCCACCCTGTACAGTGCTACCTACAGCAAATTCCACTCAAAAATAATCTTATTTAAGATAATTACAAAAGGCTTGTTTTTTAAAAGTTTTAACATCCAAACCAAACTTTAAAACTATGCATTTGCGGACCATGTTTATAGGAACTTTTTTTATATTTTTTGATGAGAAATCAATGAGTACTTATTTAATACTTTGGCAAGTTAATGACATTAAATTTTCTTAAAGGTTGCTATTAGAATTCAATTAAGGCAAATTAATTAAATTGCGTTAAACTCATCAAGGAGACCGAAATCGACAAAATATCATGAGACAATTTTTAATCAGTCCATTTAATGGTCTACACAATTTTCCCAACAGAACAAAAAAAGTCAATTCGACACATATTTTTCACACATATTTTTTTAGAAAAATATTTCTAAAATAATAGGTCCGGCAATAGTGCGTCGCGCATCTGTAGCTCCTAGAATAAAAAACTTGGTAATTTTGTTTAAGTGTCAACCTAAAGTATGTACGAGGATGTATTTCAAGAAAATATTTCGGAACACCCTCTATATTATTTTTTCAATATATGGAGAATTAAAAAATGAAAATTTTTTGAATTAGAGTATTTCAAAACTTTTAACGGTTTTTCAGATATTCGCGGTTTTATCTTTCATATGGCATTTTCCATAATAAATTTTTATCAAAGCCGCCCAATAATTTTTCTCTCGTATTTTACCGTTGAAAAAGCCATATGAAATAATACTGCGTGTATCTGCGAAACCATTAAAAATTTTGAAATACTTTATATACAAAAATTGTTCATTTTTTAACTCTCCATCTAATAAAAAAATAATATACGGGGTGTTCCATTAAAAAAAAATAGAGAAAAATTATTTTGTACTTTAGAAAGTTTGGCGTAGAATTTTAAACACCCTCTATAATTTACGATTATGATATTTATAGCAAAGTTAAGTATAGAGCATCTAAAGTAAATACCTAATATATAGTTTTGATTTCACGACATTTCTTGTATTTTTAATATTTTTTTTAAAGAAAGCTGAAAAATATATATTTTTTATTTATTTATTAATACCTCTGAAACTATCGAAACGTATTTACTCATATCATAGGATTATGTAAGGTGATCTGAAAGGAAGCCAAAAATGCAATAATATATAGGGGGTACCATTTAAAAAAAATCATCACAATCCACTCACACTTTTTTGAGCCACCCTATAGAAGTTAAAATATTTTCCTGAAATACATCCTCGTATATACTTTAGGTTTCCACTTAAACAAAATTCTGAAGTTTTTTATTCTAGGAGCTATGCCCGACGCACTATTGCCGGACCCTGTATGCACGATAACTTTTACCCTCAAAATTTCATTCAAATCAAAAATTAAAAATTATAATAAATCGAAAAAAGATGATCAATTCAACCCCCTGTAGTTCCGAAACAAAGTAGAATCGGACCTATGTTGATGTGAAAAATAAATCATATTTTTACGTGAGGAATCTCTCCACGAGAGATGGCACATGTTTTTTAAAACACCCTGTATAAAAATAATTAAAATAAATTTGTTATGTTCTACCTGTTAATCTTTTTAAGTTTAAGGTTTAATATTTGATCTTTATTTGATTGATAATAATTGGTGTAGTAGATAACCCTATTTCATTCAAAATTTTACGAGCTGCTAGTCCACTTATTTGCCTTTAATTAAAATAAAAATTACGTATAATACTCACCGGTTCGTTTACAACTACATATTTTTGACAACTAACACAACAAAATAATATTATTAATAAAAAGGACAGTACTTTACAATTTTGTTTAAGAACCATGATGATGTGTTTTCAACTTTACTACAACGTGGAATATGGTAGATGCAGGAACTATATATATAATTTACGTAAAAAATCATGTCGGTGGGAAATTCCATGACTATAAATTTGTGGTCTGAAAATTTCATTTAAAATATTAATTCTTTTAATGGACCATTTAGTAGGAGACATTTAGCATAAGATATTTAATATGCTGTATAGCCCAGTCAAATTAGATAAATCGGTGGAAAAAATTCTGACAGTTTTGAAAATGGTTTTAAAGGATTCTTCTAGACTTGGGATGATATGACATGTGTCAAAAGTTCCTGAGTTGAGCCCGAGAAGGGGATCTCCTGGTTAAATGTCACTTATATTACTCTCTCTTCTTTTTAGCTTATATCTCGGAAAATATGACACCTATGGAAAAATACCCTATATACTGGGTGCGTCTCAAAAGTGGCTCACCCATATAACTTTTTTATTTTTTCAGATAAAGAAATAAGATTTGGTATGTTCGCATATGGCATAAATTATGATTGATTGACGTATTCAATTATTTTTGGGCACTACCTGTTTCACCAGAAATGATTTTGAAATGGCGCCATCGGTATTTTTTTACTTTATTTGATAGAAAATGACACTCTGAATAGAATGACACATTATATGTCAACTTTTGGCATATTAGTTCAAAAACAAATTGTATTTTAAATTTCAATCTAGAGTGCCATTGTGGTTGTGTTAAAAACACTAATTTTTAATTAGTTGTTACACTTGGTATTTCGAGTCAAATTGTCGTGATGAACCGCATGTTAGGTTAATATACCAACCCCTTTTTTACCTGGAAAAATAAAAAAAAAGTTATAGGAGTGAGCCATTTTTAAGACGCACCCGGTATAAAACTCTCTACAGAAAAAATAGAAAAAAAAAAACAGAGAATTCTCTACAGAAATGATGCATTTTTTAACAGGTCTAACATTTTAAGAGTTGCACGGTTGACAATATTTTGTCAATAACACCATTTCTCATACTGTATTTTTTGCATTTAAAATCAAATTAAAGTCTAATGCCGGGTCCAGACCAAGCCGACAAAACAGTGAAAAGACAGAAACATTCATGTTTTACGAAGTTGTGACAAATCCAATATATTTCTGCGACATTTTTGTCTCATTTTTGTTTTGTTTCAAAATTCGGAGACTTTTCAATGTCCCGTCTCGAGTCGGTAAAGATCAAAGTGTCTATGTTTTGTTCGTATATTTTGCGACAAGTTGTCGGCGCTGTGTGGATGCCGTTGCAAACCAAACCAAATCAAACAGTAAGAGACCAGTGAAATCACACATGGTTAATAAAACTCATTCGCAATAACTAAACTTTTTACTTTTTTGTACTTTTGCCATTGTGGTGTGGACAATTTGTCTCAAGTTTGTCTTGTCAGAAGTCTCCATTTTTTGTGACAAATTTGTCTTGTTTTTGTCACAAAATCGTGTTTATTTTTTGTCACCTTGGTCTGGACCCGGCATAACATTAAACTATAATAATAATAATAAGGGTGATATTAATGGATTCTTATATTCCCTAGAGAGTCTTCATTGCATTCTGAATTTTAGTTTTCCATTGGAGCTGCAAACATTGTAGAAAATATACGAAAACTATAGATCGTGGTTCACAATTCATGATTGCTCAGAGTTGAAGATCTCTATGTCTACACAGTAAAAAATATTTACATAAAATTACCATAAATATAATTTTTCAAAGTATGGTAATGTGAAACTTTCATGTCCTCCAATGTATTATTCCCTATATTTACAGAAGATAAATGTTATAGGCTTTGTTATAAATCATACTATGCAAACGAGTAAAAATTAGTACTATACTTGAAATTTAACGTATTTTTAACTGTCCTGCTATATAATGAAATGATAGGCTATGGAGTAAACGCCAATTATAGATTGTGGTATACCAAAATGGTTTGTAGAGATTCATAACTAATAATGTAAAAAAATAAATTGTATGACTTATTACGTAATTTTACTTTTATTAAATGTATAAAACACTTTGTAAAAAAAAGATTGAAAGTATATACAAGTTGGTCCGAATTAACAGGGTTGGAAAAAATCATGATTTTTTAAAAAAAATAAAAAAAATCAGATTTTTTTGATTTAAATCGGATTTTTTTTATTTAAATCAGATTTTTTTGATTTTAATTCAAAACAATATTTAAATCGGATTTCCAAATGACTAGGACTTATTTCCAATTAAAGTCTTATCCTAAATGGCTAAATCTTTATAACTCTGAGCGATACCGATAACATTAACAATTCTACGGCGCGTGTCATTCTTCCACATCGGTGACCAATATATTCCGCAAAAAAAGTCGCTCCCTTCAGATCAAAAGGATTTTTTTTCAAACGTCTCAAAAGTATTAAATTTTGTCATTTTAACGGCTAGGCATAAAAGTAAAGCACTGTTACGCCTAAGCACAAAAGTGCAAAAATATATTATTAAAATGATATTGGGTGTCAAATTCAACGAGTGTACAAATCGTTTCTCGATTACTGTTTGTATTAGTTGCAATGTTTAAAATTGATTAAAAAATTATTTGTTATGTTTTAAAAAAATGGTGTTTTATTCGAAGTAAAAATGTACTTTTTGTGCCTCCTTGTAACGTCGGCATAGCTTTACGATGGTCCTCAAAATGTACAGCATCGTCAAAAAAAGTATAATTTCTACTCTTAATAAAACAACAACTGTTGTTCGGAATTAGTCTTAAGTCGAGAATGAAATTAGTATTATCTAATGTCAAAATGTAAAGTACTTACTGCAAATCAAAATGTCGGTAAGAATTTGGAAACATACCAACGTTTCAAAAAAAAAAAAAAAGTATATATATTCGGACAACGATTATAGATTTTCGGGAATGAAGATATAATCTTTATATCAGGAGAAACTAGTTCTGGGCACCAGTCTGCGAATGATATGTATTCGAACAGCGAATTTTTGTCACTTATACATAAATTTTAAAATAAATCCCTGCGTTTAGCAGTCTTATGGATTCACACGAAATTACTTCAAAAATCGGTCCAACATTTAAATTGATGAATAGGTATTTTTATACAGTTTTATAAAATTTACAATTATTTTTCGATTTATTATCTGTTATATCTGTTATAGAAATATTTTTTATATTTTTCTAAGATAGATTTTTTAACTTTTACAGTTATTTTTTGATTTATTATAAAGTTTCAATAAAATTAATTTTTTGATTTAAATCACATGATTAAAATTTAAAAAATCACTTGATTTAAATCACGATTTAAATCATGATTTAAATTTAATTTAAATCATGCCAACCCTGCGAATTATATTCGGGAAAATTTCGCAGCATATTCTACAGATAAAATAGGAAAAAAATGTTCTAGAAGTTTATGTAATAAAATGATTCTTTTCCGAGATACAGGTTCTAATTCGATTCTTTCCAAATAATTGCTGAACTAATATCGATATTTGGATGAAAATGGATCTCTGGATGTTTTCTGGACCCAAAAATAGTTAACTATACTATTATAATAGTTAGTTTTATACGCTCAACACAAAGTTATTCCAAAATAGTTAAAAATTTGTAATTGGTGTCTTCTACAAGTAGGAATCATATTGACATCGAAGCCTAGTTCTAGACCCTGTATTTCCGAAAAGAAGCATTTTAGGACATAAACTTATACGAACAATTTTACCTATTTTTATCTGTAAAATATGCTGGCAAAGTTTCCGGAATACAATTCGAACTACCCTGTATATTACATACAACATGAAATAATCTTAGAAATTGTAGTAAATTAAAAAGGGGCAATAAATAAAATACTAAAATATTTTATATAGGTTTTATCAAAATTCCTGCTAAGCATTGGCAGTTCCTTTGTGGTTCTAGAATTAGGCCCTTGGATGAAAACCTTTCTATGCTTGTGCCTCTATCTCTTTTCCCAGTGGACATTCTGCTTTTCTTTGATCCAGATTTTTACTGCACTACGGATTATACATTTGGATATTCCTTGTACTTGGCTTCAGACTAAGATATGATTCTGATGACCCTTGCCTTGCTAGATTATCGGATTTTTCGTTGCCTTGGATTAGCGATGGGAACTATCGAATGAATTAGACTATCGAATGGTTACTGAATGAATAATTTCAACTATCGAATGGTTTCATTCGAATAAAATCATTCATTCATTTGTATACTAAAGCATATGTGACAACCTCGCCGTGCAACTAAATGATTATCGTTAAGCCACGACTATCGAATGCTTTTTATAAATGAAATTTAGTATTCGTTTGATTATTGTCTGCGTCAGTGCATTATTAGTCCTTCCCAAAGAGGTTAGGTCCTTCCAAATTTTTATAACTTGCCTTCTAAATACTGTGCTATTTTTGCGTTTATTAAAATATTTAAAATACTAAAGTAGTAGTGTTTTTTTTTTAAATTGATGATTGTGTAATGTGTGCAGGTGGTCAAAATTTTTTCCGAAAATTTTTTGTGATTTTCCGATCTTTCAATTATTTAATTTTATACGGTATATGGTCTATTTTTTAATGGGAAATTTTGAGAAGTAACAATTTTAAGAGAGATGAGGTGAACTTACAATTAATTTTAAAAATACATATGTATTTGTATTTTAGATGTTTTAGTAATATGAATTAGTTGAACTTAATAATCATATATAAGTAATGTGGTAATGTGGTTAAGTAAATTGTTATCAAACTCAAATTTTGGGATGAGAAAATTAAATTGATTGATTAAAGTTTTACACGTGCCAATTTAAAAAAAGTTAACGATATTTGTATTTTGTTTATGTTAATTCTCTTACATGTAGATTTTTGCGAAGAAATATTTCATTTATTTTTTAAAGTAAATGCCAGTAAAAGCAAATATTATTTTTAAATACTAATACAAAGTAATAAAAAGTAATATACATATTATATAATTTTGATTCCTAATTTTTTATTTATATTTTTCTTCTATTACACTGCATGCTTAGAAAATTAATAAATGTTTATATTTCATGATTTTAAAATTTGTTGTTAATATAACAAATTAGTTCTGTAATTATTATTATTTAATAAACCAACGTTGCCACAAAAAAATTAAAGACTATATTATTTTTAAATAGGATCTAATATAAATAATTTTGACTTCTAATTTGTTGTTTATATTTTGCTACTACTTAAAAAAATGTTTATATTAAATGATTTTAAATTTTGGTGTTAATAGGTATATCAAATTATTACTGTTATTATTATTTATTAAACCTGTTTTGCTTAAAAACATTAAAAATCATTTTCCTACATCCAAAATAAAAAGTATTATTGCAGTGTAACAACAGAATATTAATAAAAAAAAATGCAAAATATATAGTCATACTATCCCTAACTAACTATAATACCAAAGAATAATATTCTTCGCTAATACCAACTAATACGAATATACGGCAACAGCGCCGTTCGTAATGTATTTTCTGTGTAAATACTAGCACCTCAATAAAAAAAAATAATGTGTCCTTATCTTTATCTGACTCAAAATCAAAGATGCCGGCTTTTTTCATACCATTGCCACCGACCGCTGTCGGGTTTCTAGGAAAGAAACCTACGTCGCCGGGCGACAACTAAAATCGAGTTTATATTTTATTATAATCGATCGTGACGAATAAATGAATTTTACAAATGAATGAATTTTATAAATGAATGGTTTTTGGTGCCGAATTAATATATTTCAAGGCAGATGACGCATCTATTCGATATTTTTATTCGAATAGTTTTCGACGAATGTTTTCTTACTAGCTATCGAATTATTCGAATGAATTGCAACTATCGAATGTTTCGATAGTATTCATTCGATAGTTCCCACTACTACCTTGGATGCCGCTCTGGAGAGTCTCGACAATACTTTTGGGCTCATAAGCATACAGGAAATGATTACATTAATGTAAAATATTGAACAGCTCTTAATCAGATTTGGTGTAAAAAAGTTATTTACGGTGCCCATTTCCCTTTGGAATATAAAAATTTACATTTCATTTACCCTTTTGGAGTTTATGGCGTTCATGTGTTGGAGTTTATTGAGTTTATGGTTTATAATTTTATTTACACAAGAAAACTCTAGCGCAGCATTCTATTATATTTATAGGGAATAAAACCAAACCAAACAGTAAAAATGCCAGTAGTTCAAATTAAGAAAGGATTTATCAGGATAACAGACAATTTTACTTAGAACGAGAAAATTTTTTTTTCAGACGTCACAAAAGTATTTATTTTTGCATCGTGATTGACAATATAAAAAAGTAATTTTAACGCCTAGGCATAAAAGCTTAGTATAAAAGTACTAATGCATAGGTAAAGCACAAATGTACAAAAATAACTCAACGAGCTAACCATAGTTTATCGAAAAATATAATTACTTACAAGCTATTACTTTTAAATATTTTTATATTATTTGGAACGTTTAAAATTGTTTAATAAATTATTTGTGGCGTTTGAAAAAAAAGCATGTTCAATTCGGAGTAAAAAATTCTATTTTTGACTCGCCTGTATGTCAAACGTACCACCTCACCGCAAAAAGTATCCTTTTTACTCCAATAAAGCAATATACAATTTTTGAAAAAAGTTTTTGATTATTTTTATAAACCTTTATTTTCATTGCCTGTTTCTTAAAGAAAGAATAACTCTTTTTGTATTATTAATTAAAATATTAGTATCTACATATTATAGCAAATATTACTGATGGTGAAAGAAAGGAAGCATCAATATTTAATTTATGCTTCTTTATTTTTATGAGGCTGACATTTAATTACAAATATACAAATTATAAAATACTACCCATATATCTAAAAAAAATATTTAAGACTAGAATAAAAGAACTATAATGCAAACCTATAACTACATGTCTAATATACATTATTTATAATAATGGCTTTAGAATTTTATAAATTTTATCACAAAATGTCATTCGATTCATAGCAAATTTCACTGGACTGACAGATGTAGGGCAGATGCGAGTGACATCCTACATCGTTCCATCCGTTTGGCTCAGGACTGTACGTGGGCATACCCAATTGAATACAGTGCTCCCCTTCGTTGTTATTGTAGTCCATTTTGGCATCGTCAGGCTGACCTACAAGCCAATTCGTGTACACGACTTTAGCCCCTGTCGTAGCCCAATAATACTGCCCATCTCCTAATTTTGTACCGGCTAACCAGTATCCAGCTGAAAATGACACATTACTATAATTAGCAACCAAAAATATATTAAATATAAATGTGGTAGATTTGCGTCCTTATGTTATAATATATGAAATGGCGTCCGCAGGTTTAGGACCAGGAAATAAAAATCTAAAAAAAGGACCAGGAAAAAAAAAAAATTATACTGTGATTGTAAACGAATTTTTAATTTTTGTATTATAAGGGAAATTGTGTATATTTTATATTCTTGTGTCGTGTTTAATGCCTTGGTCATACAGAGTGGGCCACTGAAAACTTACAATGTCTATAATTTTTAAACCAAAAAAGATATCAAAAAAATAAAAAATACCGTTTCTATAATATCGGGGGGGAATAAATATGACGTATTTTTTGAACCACCCTGACCTACCCCTTAGACGGCACCCCTACTCACTTGAAAATCTTAAATAGTAACACCCCACTTGTGGCACCTTTTTGGAAAGCCCATGAAAAATGTTAAACGATGATCATAAAGTTTTTAGGGTGAAATTGAAAAACTACCCCTTACACGAAAAATTAGGTGGACATGAAAAAAGTGATGTTTCAGTATAAGTTACAAATTGGGACCCAGCTAAATGAGGCAAATGAGGTATTTTCAAACCACCCCGACCCACCCCTAGGTGTCACCCCCTCACTTCTAATCTCATCAATGCCATTTTGAAACCATTGCCATTTTGAAGCTAAAAATAAAAAATGTAGATAATAAAAAAGGCAATGCAAAGATGTTTTACTAATCGTTCAGCCTAATTTTGCGATAACGCAAATTCTTCCTTATCATCTATTTTTTTACTTTCAAAAAATAGGAGTGCATTTTCAATACTCTTCTGACAGATGTTCGAGGTATACCAGTGATTGATGCCAGTGATTGATGCCAGTGATTGATGCCAACTGGCGTGTTGATGCTTCTGGATTGACCGATACCTGACCAATAACTTCCATCTGCATTACTTCATTCAGTACCCTGGACCCTGTCCTTTTTTTATTTTTAACCGATCCAGTTGCTTGAAACTTTAGAATCAGATCTCTAACATAAACGTAACATAACCCTTTCCAAATAGCACATACCTTCAGCACCATAAAGAAAAACTATTTGAATTATTTCTTCCACAGTATAAACCATTTTTCTTTCAAATAAGCGCATCAAATAAAGATTTAAAATAACACCAAATTTGCAAACGATTGAAAATCGATAGAAGACAGTGCAAAAACGCAAAGATTTTTTAAGAAAACGTTTTAAGATTCCTGTTTGTTGAAAGTAAAAAAATAGATGATAAGGAAGAATTTGCGTTATCGCAAAATTAGGCTGAACGATTAGTAAAACATCCTTTTTTATTACCTACATTTTTTATTTTTAGCTTCAAAATGGCAATGGTTTCAAAATGGCATTGATGAGATTAGAAGTGGATGGCATCTAGGGGTGGGTCGGGGTGGTTTGAAAAATACCTCATTTGACTAATTTAGCTGGGTCCCAAAATCACTTTTTTCATTAATGTCCACTATATCTTTTTTGGTTTAAGAATTATAGCCATTGTAAGTTTTCAGTGGCCCACCCTGTATAGACAGACTATTATGTGTAGTGTGTCTTGATTGTGTGTCTTGATTGTATCCATACTATCAAGATAAGCTCTTCTTCTTGAAGATGCGAGATCTTGTCGTTAATGAGGAAGCTCCTAGTCAGGTGCTAGGGGGAATCTCCTCTAGCACTTTAGCTGGGTCTAAGGAGCATCTCATTGTCTTGTCCCTGGCTAATGGCTGTAGTATCGTGGCCAGGGAATTACACCAAGATGTATAACGATTCGGGATGGGACCACCCTGCCCGTCATACTAGGTACCCTCTACTGTCTGTGGTCAGGTATCACGGACAGAGGGTGTGGGGGATCTAAGCTTAACCGCCCGGATCAAGAGGAGACAACCTCAGACTAGTCTAGGGTTGCCAACGGTCTCCTATTCCAAAAGACAGTCCTTTTTTTGATCTCACTATCCTCTTTTCTCTCACGTATTCAAAAAATCCTCTTTTTTACATACCAAACTCAAAATCTAAAAAATATTGGGTATCCCCACAATGCATTACATTTTTGTATACAGACCGGACCACCGTAGTAGTAACATAGGCAGAACCGGACGAATTAGCGTATACCCGTCCGCCGGATAAAAAGCAGGCGAAAAAATGCGATAAAATAAAAATAGGTAGATAAAATTTGAATGTTTTAGAATTTGTATTTATTCGTGTTTTAATAGCCAAAACGAATACATAGATTCTCGCGACAGTTCTCGTGTAAAATTTATTTTTTAAGTAAAATAATCGATGTTTACGAAGTTCGTGAGAAAATTCAAATTGTAAAATGGTATTTCCAAAATAGGTCTTATCGGGATATACAAACAATTTTTCCACAAACTTTTGTAAACAGGTCAATTCCACCTTTACCTACTATATCAAGAGTTATTAATAATTTTGAAACACATGCGTGCGTGTCCCCACAAAAACACAAAAAGCCTGATGTGTTCACCAGATCGCCAGATCTTTCTCCCAATGATTTCATTTTGTGGGGTTATGTAAAATCCAAAGTGTATGGTCATAATAGGGCTAATAATCTGGATGAGCTTCGAGTAAAACTACGAAAGGCTTTACAAACTATTAGCCCTAATATGTTAGCCAATGTCCGACGGGAATTTTACGACCGCCTAGGCTTCTGTCTAGCACAAAAAGGTGGTCTTTTTGAACACTTGTTATAACTTTTATTATTTTTTTAAGAGTAATGTTTTAGTTTTTTTGGGTTTAGAGAATTTATTTATTTTTAGTTTTGGCTTGTAAACACACTCAAATAATAAATATTTAAGTATTTTTATTTTAAATGTTACCTTAAGTGAAGGTAACTTAAGGAACACTTAAAATGAAAATAATAAATACTCGGCACTCCTCGCGTCGTATTCCTAGTCTGCCACGACCGACCCGTCCAAGCACAACTGCAACTGCGTACTGCCTGACCAGCCGACTAGTCGGCAGTGAATCTCGAGTACCCTCGAGTACGAACGCAAATCGGGTAAACGTAAATTCGTCTGGCAACTTGCTATGTTACTACCCAGATAGCACAAAAGGAACATTTACATTCTAAGAATATTCCTCCTAAGTTCTTATAAGTATATTCTTTTTTTAATAAGTATAGCATATGAATAGTACATTCTACTATGAATGTGATTTAAAGGTATATTATCAGCATGACCTTAGAATGTCTTCTTAAATTATGGTTTACAATAAATTATAAGTATGTGCTATTCACGTTCTAAACATATCAATATCTGAATAAAAATAAAGGACAATAAAAATAATTTCGAAATGAAAAAAAATACAATACATTATATTTGTATACATATATTCTTACTATTAAATTTTTGTGTATTAAATAATTATTAGGGATTTTATATATTAGTGTATATAGATGCACTGTAAACAAATATTCAAGCAAAAATACAGTGTTTCTTATTCTAACAAATAAATAAACCTGTAAAACTGTATAAATAAAAACGATCTTCCATTATGAAATAAAAAGATCGATTATACCAAAAGATAGTTTGATAAAACTCGATAGATTTTAATCGATTTTTTGGGTAAAAAGATCGATCTTCGATTGAAATCGATTCGAATTGGACATCCATAACATAACCTAACAAAAAAACAACAAGTGAACCATACCATAAACGTAAACGCGCTTCATCCAAACTATTTTAATAATTAAAACATGTTAAAACACTGAGATAAAGTAAAGGTAAGTGATGCAAATAATTATTTTAAGGATAGAATCGGTAAAATAGTTCTTGTTATGTTTGTGTTTTTAGTATCTATTTTAAGGGGAGTGAATTTAATGTTCTAAAACCATGAGACCTCGAAAAAAAATAGGTTATACTAAAAATATTTTAAAATTCAACCAAAACAAAAGGAGCCAAAATCTTATTAAGTCAATGTTACGCAAATATGACTTCAATATTGTACATTAAACTGGATTCAGACTAAAGTGATTCTTTATTATCCTCTGTACATCATCAAAGTAGTAGTATCTGGTAGTATCATTTCTGTTCTAATAAGTGTAGTTCCAGTGCTGAAATTTCCTACAATATAGTATTTATATAGGTATTTATGTAGGCTCTTCTATAATCATGTATTGTGTATTTTTTAAGAGAAAGGTATTTTTTAGAATTATTAGGTTCGAGAATTATCTAGACTTGGTGGTTCAGGAGTAGCACAAAGTACAAGGAAAGCGCTTTATAAGGTTCTGGGCAATGAAATTGCACAAAAATATTCTTGGGATGGGGCCAAACAGAAGAGAAGTTTGAAATCATTGTTAGTGGCCAAAAGCAATTTTAGGTATCTGAACTTAAATATATTTGGTGTTGCAAAGACTGTAATAAGATATATTTTAGACTCCATGAAAGGTCAATTTCAAGAGTCAAAAGAAACCGAAATTATCAATATAATTATAAATTATAAAAAATATGGCTTGTAAAAACAAAAGAAGGATTAGAAAATACAAAGGTAAGTTGTGCAAATTTATTTGAACAGTATAATTTTGCTGATATTATTTCAGAAGGGTAGATAAGAGAATATAGAAACATAGACATAGAAGATAATATCAATGTATATTGTTATATTAAAATATGTTTAATTAATAAACATATATTACTCAAGTTCGTCTTTATCCTTACCTATTATTTTTAACCGTTCTATTTATTAGTTAATTTTTGATTATTACACACCAAATTATTTAATTTCAGCAAATTGTTTGTAGTGTGTCCCAGATATGAATGTACTGTATATGTATCCTATAGATTTTAAGAGATAAAAAAATTGCTAAATATGAAAAAAATTGTATCTATCTATAGTTTATAGGATATTGGTACAGTGCATCCTTATACAGGACACCCTGTAGATACAGAGTTGAGGGTTGGAATCTTTGGTGTTACAACAGCAAAATAAAACACTAATTCACCACAATATACCAAAACACTTTACTTTTGAACTGGACGCTTGTTTGGTTAATCATGTTAGTAGTGTATGATTAAAACTTAAATTTTGACCATCTGCTGATGCTGCTAACATGGTTAGCGAAACGCGCGTCCTGTGCAAAAGTAAAGTGTTTTGGTGTATTGTGGTAAATTAGTGTTTTATTTTGCCTCTGTAGATAATAAAAAAATATTAAAAACATATGAAAAGCATAAATATAGAATATTAAAAACATGAATATCATATAATTGGAATATTATTTTTAAATACATTCTTTTACGAACATATAATTCACGTTCATACAATGTATCTTGGAATGTGAAACGCACTTCTATATCACTTGAATAGTGTGGAACGTAATCTCTGCTATTCATGTGCTATATATGTTCCCAATGAAAAAAAGGAATGTGAATAGAACATTGTTGTTCTCCAAAGTCACTTGCTTCGCATATGAAAAGAACGTAAATGTGCTATCTGGGTAGTAGCCTAGTCTTCTCTGTATAATCTGTGTCGTCCTTTGTACAGAAAAGAAAATGAAGAAATATTTATGTACAATAAATATGTATTCATAAAAGCAATAAACATGTCTAACTATTTTATATTTACTTACTGTTAGTTTATGTTTTGAAAAGTTTTGTTGAAAATGGTTTGTTTTGTTTGGTATTTTAACAAGTTTTGAATATAAATATTTTTAAGAAAGTTAGAAAGACCATCAATCGCATACCGTTGACATAACTTTTTGATAAATTCTAGACATTTGGGCGAGGTCTCAAGAAATATTTCGCCTCTTTTTTAACCTCTCGTCCTCTATTTTTTATTTTGAAATGTGGCAACCCTAGACTAGCCTATTTTGGTCTCAACCTTCGGGGCATTAGGAAGTACCCCATTGTGTTTAGCCCTTAGTACATGCGGAGTTCTGTAGAAGTGGACCGACTAACCCTTGTGGTGTAATTGGCCTCACATCCAAGGAGGCAATAGAGAAAGAGGGGCATATCCTCTATTATTGATTCGGGACAACATCGGTGTTAGGTCTAAGGAGAGACTAAGTTAGAGGTGGAGAAAATGGAGGACAGGTCCTCCAGCCTCCACCTCACGAGTAGCTCAGCCGGAGACAAGCTCCTCGACTGTGAAGGGCATGGAGGAACCACCCCAACCGTGGAAGGATGTATACTCTCATAGGAGGTAGATGTCAAATCGTCGGAGGATGAACATCTGTTGTCAGAATGGGCAATACCCGGTCCCCCTACAACAGGAAGATCCTTATGTATGATGAGTTATAGACTGTATGATGAGCAATAACTTAAGAAAGGGGGAAATAATTAGTGATGAGCAAATGCAAGACTTGGTCTTAAAGTTAATAACTAGTATTGGTCTTGGGCTTGGTCTTGCTGCAATAGTCTGGCAAGTTTTTTTTAATATATTTTAACTAGATGCACTTGCTATAGAAAATATTTAAATAAATAATATAATAATAAATATTAGTTTTACGAATTTAATGCCAATAAAACTTCAAAGAATGTAGTAAAATATCCCTCGGTAGTGAAGTCTTGTAGGCATATTTTGATATTAGAATATTAATCTGACAAACATTTTTATTTTTAATATATTGTATGGAATCAGGATTTCTTTCTTTAAAATTTTATGCAATAGTCGGCAAAGCACTATTTGTAATAAATTAAAACTATAATTTTGAACAAAATAAATTATATCGTATTTCATACAAACGTGAAAATAAAATTAACACAGTATCGCTAATTATTTCAATCCTTATTGATCGCACTGTATATATTTATTATGCTTACCCTTGTATCCGTTATCTGTCAAAAATTTCTGTAGTCTATTGGTCTCCTCTTTCGAATTTACACTGGCAAGTTCCATGCCAGCACTTTTGCAGTTGATAAGTGATTGAAACCAGTTAGCCTAATGCAAAATTTATAAGTAAAATTCAAATTTATTTCTTAGAATATATCTTAAAGAATCAACAGTTGTTATTTATAATTTAAAGGAAAAAATAGGGAAAATAATATTGTCTGTTTATATTGTATAGTATACTAAAATTAATAAATTAGTTATAATTCATCCTAACGTTATATTATTAACGTTATGATATATTAACTTAACAACTATAGTAAAATTGACAAAAAACAGAGTCTTTTTAATATATTTTTTTTCAAATTCCTGCCAAAAAAAATTAAATTTTTGATCGATAATTAAATAATATATGTCAAATATAAATTCAAGAGCCTACATAGACACATAGATAAACGGAACAAGTTTAGATTGGAAAGTGCCCATAAGGACAATGTAAACACTATTTGGCGCTATTCTTGCAACGGTCGCGACCCAAAGCTTTTGAAAATTTCGGAGCGGTTCGGCTTTTTCCGGAATTATATCGCCAAATATTGTTTATTCAAATTTATTATTATTTTCGTTTAATTTTATAAATAAAATACAGTGTGTTGCATACAAGAAACTTAATTTTTTATAAGAACGCATGTATGAAATACCTATGAAATACCTATGAAACATTGGAAACCGACGTTATGCCACGATCCAGGATGGTTTTTGCAGTTCACAGTTCACAGCACAGCTTTTTAAGTTTTTAATGCCACTTTTTCACAATTATCACCGGTTGGAGTAAATAAAACTTTAATTAAACTCACAAGATAGCAATAATTACTTTGAAAATGGACGCTATAAACACTTTTCGGAATTTCTTTAATGAGAGCGGTTTAGATTTTGAAAGATTATTATGATTTTTGAAGATTCTGACTTTGACAAGAGAAAATTATTTCTGTTTTTGTTTGCCGTTGTTCTTAGCGACCACTATAGCAGCGCCAGATCGCGTATAACGGTCGCGACCCAAAATAATTTAGCGACCTAAAATTTTTACGGGCTTTCCAATCTAAACTTGTTGCATTTATCTATGCATAGACAAAATGTTTATATCAATTTTCCATTCATTTCAAACTATGCAAAGGACGCTAAAATAAAATTTGATAGTCTATGTAGCATTAATATATTGGTATTTAAAAAAAAATATTAATATTTATTACATTTTTTATATTGTATTATATTGACATTAATTGTCGGACTCTCTCAATCACTTGCCCACCAAATAGAAGAGATTGGTAACGTCATTATTGATGACGGGCATTTCGTAAATTACTGCGTATTCTTTTTAGTAATTGTCATTTTCATTTGATTTGGGGTTATAATTTTATTGACGGACATCGATCAATGTCAAAATTAAAATTTGACTGTTGCTGTAAAACAAAATTCCAATTTTTTTATTGCAAAAATGCTCCAAAGACTTAACCAAAATGAACAAGAGCTCATTGCTAAGCTTATAACACGCTGGTAGAACACTCTTGCCCGTTGACGCCGTATATGATTTAAGTACAGGGTGAGTCAACGATAGAGTAAAGTCCATTATCTCATTTGTTTCCAGGTTTACAAAAAAATGTTTAATATAAAAGTTATAGGGATGGTTAAGATACACATTTTAAAATTATTATAAAGTATACAAAGTGCTTCAAAAAAGTGTGGCGGATATAACATATGTTTTTTTAAATGCAACACCCTATTTTTTATTTTATTGTCAAATTCTGCGTAAAATTCCATAACTTTTTTATATATAATGTTATATAATTAAAATTAATGGTTTGTGTAATATTTCAATTTATTTAAACAAATGTTAAATTGCAGTGTGGTAAAAAATTGTCAGTGGTGCCATTGTGTCTGAAGTTGAAGTACCAAAATTTGGTAGGAGAGTTTTATAGAGATGAAAAAAAAGATATATGTAAAGATATTTTAGTTAAATAATATACGGTGTTCAAAATATATTTATGAATTTCAACTACTTAAAATTAAAAAATCTCAAATTTTTTAAATGGTACACCCTATATATTATCATTTTTTCTGATAGATTTTACAAAACTCTTCAACTTCTATTAAGTATGTCATATACCTATTTTTAATAGTTTGCGATTTATTCCCATTTTTTCTATTTTTATCCATATTTTTAATACAATTACCCTATAAAATCATAGTTTCCATGAAAAAACAAAACTATTTATTACTTACCTTTAACAAGTAGCTTCATAATTAGTTACAATTGCTGGTATTAGTTAAAATTAATTAACTTTACTCAAATAAACTAAAGAGCAGTCGTGAATTTCTTGGTATATATTATGAAAGATGACACTTGGGATTTTTCGTCGGGGTGAATAGCCACAGAATCGGGTAATACTAGAGTACCTAATTGCTGAAGACTACTGATATAGGAATTTTCTTCGACATACAGTAAAGTTTTTTTCTCGTAGTAGGTAATTCTGGTTTATAATTCATTTGGTAAAGCCAACATTACTACTGCCGCGAAACCGTCCCATTACACACTGAAGATGTTTTCTAGATAATATACATCTATTCTTATAGTAGTTAGCAAAGTACTAAGTATATAATATATAGTACTGAACCAAAAAAATGTGGTTTTCTAGGCTTGTCCGTGAATTAGTCACATTGACTAATTCATTTTAAGAAAATCTGTAACTATTATCTCTACCATTTATACTTATTATAACAAATTAAACTAAAACTCAAATTTTGTTTTTAACTTGCTTAACAGACATGAAATTGTGATAATTATTACTTTTTGTCATGGTAATTATGATGTTATAGCGTAATTGTATTAAAAATATGGCTAAAAATAGAAAAAATTAGAATAAATCGCAAACTATTAAAAATAGGTATATGACATACTTAATAAAAGTTGAAGAGTTTTATAAATTCTATCAGAAAAAATGATAATATATAGGGTGTACCATTTAAAAATTTTGAAATTTCTTAATTTTAAGTAGTTTAAATTCATAAATATGTTTTGAAAACCCTATATCTCTATAAAATTCTCCTACCAAATTTTAGTTCTCCACTTATCACACCGCAATCTAACATTTGTTTAAACAAATTTAAATATTACAAAAACTATTAATTTTAGGTATATAACATTATATATAAAAAAATTATGGAATTTTACGCAGAATCTAAAAATAAAATAAAAAATAGGGTATTCCATTTAAAAAAACATATGTAGTATTCGCCACACTTTTTTGAAGCACCCTGTATACTCTGTAATAATTTTAAAATGTGTATCTTAACCATCCCTATAACTTTTATATTTAATATTTTTTTGTAAGCCTCGAAACAAATGAGATAATGGACTTTACTCTATCGTTGACTTACCCTGTACAATGCAAAGGTGTAATATTCCTATGTAAAATACAAATTGGATAGCGTTTTTAAATAATATAGTGAGTTGTGCTGATGCTTTAGAAAAAGTAATTTCAACAGTCCAAAGGATTGGAATGCCGAAAAAAACGGAACTCGCTCAATCAATAATATAGCAACGTACTTAAAATTGTTTAAACAATATGACCTGATTTCAGACACACCCTAAAACTCACATTTGATAAATAATGATGACGTAACGGTGAACAATGGCTGGACAGTCTTTTGCATTTTTTTTCTTAAAATAAGCATTTGTATACCGGGGTATCGATTCAGGGACGTACGGGAAATCCCATGTAAATTTTAAAGGTGACGTTTATTGGCTCCCCTATTGATTTTAGAAGAAACCTTTATTGAAATTTTTTAACGTATTCGCTGGATTAGATTAGGCTATCAACTTTGAAATTCTTCCGCAAAGCCGTTTTTAAATTATTTGCAAAACTAGGTTTGGTTTGGCACTCCGAATTCCAGTAATTTATGAAACTTTATGGCATTGACATTTTTGAAGCATTGAAGTTCAAAACATTTTTTTGTCGTGAAATATTCATTTAAAGGGAAACTCACCATGACTAAGTGATATTATGGAGGAAATAACTACCAACAAATATTTTTTAAAAACAAATCTAATATTAGTAGTATTCTTTCGTTCTCATTGCAATCGAAGTGTTGTGATTTTAGTGAAAGTGATTTTTTAGTTCACTTCAGGGGGTTTATTCACTTGTTTAATGAATGAAAGAACACGATCAAAAAATAAATATTTTTTTGTTTACACCCACCGTTGAGATTAAAGTTATATTGATTTACTGATATAGTTTAGCGATTATTCTGTTTAGAGTTTATTTAAACATTAATAAAGAAAAAAATATTTTTGGAAGCTTTCCTGAGAGATTCCGACCTAAGGGTACGAACATAGTGGAGGCAGGTTTCTGCTTTCCGGCAACCAGCGCCGTCTCTGGGGACCTATTCTTGACCACTCGCATCTTCAAATATCGCTCGCATCTCGCATCTCCTAAAAAGCCATATAACAATACACAGATGCGTAACTTTGCGTATATGCATCACGTGTATTGTATATGGCTATTTCGGAGATGCGAGAAGGATACGGGAAGTAGATAATTAAGAGGAAATTTACCTGATTAACTAACCTAACCTAACCAAACCATATTCAAACGCCGCGCCCGCCTCACCGGGGCCGCGCATAGGTGTATTTGGTCTATAAACCTGGCCTAAAGTGATATTTTTTTATTTTCATTTTTTATCTTAACTGAATACAAATCTATAAATTCTAAATGTAAGCACGTTTATTAGTTATTAGCTTTTTTAAGTCGTAAGTTGACTATCAAATAAATAATATATTTTAGTTAAAAGTATGAATTATCTTGAGTGTATTCTGAATACTTCTAAGATTATAAAAATAGTGGAATTGTTTGTAGTGCTTTTTTTGCAAATTGTTCATAATAACTGTCATGATGGATACAGAGCCAGCTTTGTTTGTTGGCTCTGTTCTGTTTTATGCCATATTTTTATTTTGAAACGTTTCCTTCTATTCTATTTTTTTATAATGTTTTATATTTAAAAAATCAGTGGCATTTTTATAAGGTGTAAGACTATTCGGCAATATTCCGCATGGAAATTAGTATCCGTTCAATGCTTAAAGTCTCCAGCATTGGAATATGCACAAAAATCTTGCCAATATTTGCCACTGCCAAAAAAAACATTGATTTAAATAGATTCTTAAAGGAAATAGTCTTTACCCTATTAACACCCATCCTCGCTCAAATATCGTCTATAATATACAAATTACTTTCTTGTTCTAGCATCCTCATCCAATTGCTTGGTTTTGCACAGAATGGCCCTATTTGATCGGTGGAAAGGGTTTCAGAGTAGAGGAAAAAATATTGTGTAGGAAAAACAAAATGGGGTTCCATATTAGCAACCTCTCCTCTAATTAATAATTAATATTACTAGCAAAAAAGCAAAAAAATCATAAAACATAATTTTGGCCAACTTTTAGTTCTTAATACCCCCTGTGCGCCGTCGGCGCGTGCAAAAGCAGAAATAAATAAATTTTCGTTCCGGTAAAAGCGAGAACGCCGATGAACGCTGGTTGACGGTGCCTGCCTGCTTTCACTGTGAACTAGCCGATTTGATAACACGCTTTAATTTTTCAAGGTTATAAGCGCGAGGCGGCGCGGCGCGGCGCTACTATGTAACCATATACAGGGTGTCCCAGAAATAAGTGCAAGTATTTTAACTTAACTGGTAGTATAGTTCAACCCCAGAAACACGCCTATGAGGTTTTTCTAAATAATTTTTTTTAAAAATTCGGAATTTTTGAAAATATTTTGGAATTTTTTGCAATATTTTTTTAGTTTTTATTTAAAAAATAATTTCTTGATAATATGGCAACATAGGTAGTAGATTAAATTTACAAGAAAGAAAATCCAGAAAAGATCCAGTGGTTCTCAAACAAATCTCGAAGTATTGGAAAGAATGTGTAAGGACCAAGAACTATTGACTACAATAAAACGACGGAAAGCAGCATATTTTGGTCATATTTTTCGAAATAACAAATATAGTTTCCTACAGCTGATCGTTGAGGGAAAGATTGAAGGACGACGAGGCATCGGGCGTAAACGGTTTTCCTGGTTGCGGAATTTGCGCCAGTGGTTTAATATAGGAGAGGCCAGTGCAATTATCCGTTTGGCTCAAGACAGGAGGAATTCCAATTGATGGTCGCCAACCTCCGATGAGGAGAAGGCACATGAAGAAGAAGGTTCTCAAAATTTTAGCAAAAATAATTTTTTTTGAAATTTTCAAAGTAAAATAACTCCATTATTTTGGACTTATTTGAAAAACGATAAAGAGAAAATATGTTTCTTTTATCGAGATCTACCATCCTTTAAAATACTTGCACTTATTTCTGGGATACCCTGTTTATAACAATACACGTGATGCGTATACGCAAAGTTGCGAACGATGTCAAGAATAGGTGCCCAGATTGGCGCTGACTACCAGTAAGCGGTAAACCTGCTTGCACTGTGTTCGCACACTAAGAGTTAAATTCAAGCAGGTTTAAATATTTAAATTTTGTTCTTAAAATGGTTTATAGTCACAAAATATCACCGGTGTCTTTTATGGTTTAACCTTGACAGAATAATTTTTAAGGTTAGAAACCCGAACTGAAAGTTTAAAAAGTTTTATAAGGTTATTGAAGGACTGTATGTTGAATATACATGCCAAATTTGAACAATTGTGGATATGCTGTTTTTAACTAATTTAAGAAAAACTGCATCTATTTTTAAATTAAAACTAAACAGGTAACAATGCAAAACCAGACAAATGTCAAATACCTTTAGTCCATAGATAAATGCAACAAGTTTAGATTGGAAAGCCCGTAAAAATTTTAGGTCGCGAAATTATTTTGGGTCGCGACCGTTATACGCGATCTGGCGCTGCTATAGCGGTCGCTAAGAACAACGGCAAACAAAAACAGAAATAATTTTCTTTTGTCATAGTCAGAATCTTCAAAAATCATAATAATCTTTAAAATCTAAACCGCTCTCATTAAAGAAATTCCGAAAAGTGTTTATAGCGTCCATTTTCAAAGTAATTATTGCTACTTTGTGAGTTTAATTCAAGTTTTATTTACTCCAACCGGTGATAATTGTGAAAAAGTGGCATTAAAAACTTAAAAAGCTGTGCTGTGAACTGTGAACTGCAAAAACCATCGTGGATCGTGGCATAACGTCGGTTTTAGGTATTTCATACATGCGTCCTTATATAAAATAAAGTTTCTTGTATGCAACACACTGTATTTTATTTATAATATATAACGAAAATAATAATAAATTTGAATAAACAATATTTGGCGATATAATTCCGGAAAAAGCCGAACCGCTCCGAAATTTTCAAAAGTTTTGGGTTGCGACCGTTGCATGAATAGCGCCAAATAGTGTTTACATTGTGTGACATTGTCCTTATGGGCACTTTCCAATCTAAACTTGTTTAATTTATCTATGCTTTAGTCCTCAACCTATAACTTTGTCAATTTAGTGTGCCCGAAATGCCTTTTGGTAATTAAAAACTTGTTACAACTTACGTTATTACTCTTTAAACCAGTTAAATAATATGTAGGTGGCGCCCTCTATTAATAGGAGTCATATTGACATCAAAATCAGATTCTCATGTCAAAAAATACCCAGACACCAATTTTCATACAAATATTGGCGTTACATACTTCAGAAATTATTGGGAAAAAATCGAAATAAAAATGAAACTTCTACACTCTGTATCTCCGAAACTATGCATTTTAGGACATACATTTATACGAACTTTTTTACTTATTTTTATCTGTAGAATATGCTGCCGTTGATGAATAAGTTTCCGGAATACAGTGCGGACCAACCTGTATATCACTGGTCTGCAAAAAGCATTTTTTTCTCGAACCATTCCTGTTGATTCTTTTTTGAAATAACGTCCTGGATCCAAATGTACCTCCCATTTTCTTCTACCGCCCACCTTTTCGGGGGATGCATAAAAGAACGCAACAGAGAAATTTTTGCTCAAATTTAAATTGTTCTGTTTTTGTTATTTTTTTAGCTCAATTTTCATGAATTTTTTAGCAAGCTGTATATAATTATCTCGACTTTAATTCGTAAATTCAGTTTTTTATAAACTTTAGTATTTGGCATATTATACAGGGTTAATCGAGGCGTTGTTTTTTACCCTAACTTTAAAACACCCTGTGCAATAATGTCGTGTGTAAATTTTCCGAAAATATAATTTTACGGTCAGAACCATGTCTCCTGACCATTTCGTTTTTTGGATCATGTCAATATATTCCTTAACAGGTAAAAGCTTCACGATTAGGAAATACAATTTAACATTTACATACATTGTTACCTTTCCAGTCTTAATTTAAAAATAGATGCAGTTTTTCTTAAATTACTTAAAATAGGCTTGTACAAAATTGTTCAAAGGCAAGTTGACATCGTCATCATCAAAGGCAAGTTGACATGGTCAGCCTACGCAGACCTTTAAAAAACCTATTTACAACTTCGCTGTAAAATTAATAAGGGAGCCAATATTTGGACAGTTCAAAACTTGCATGGGATATACTATGTTTCCAACGACGATGCACCACCCTGTATATCCTGAGCCAATGCATAACCCGGTATACATAGATTTTATAATACGACACCGTATAAGTACGCTCATTAAAGTACATACTTGCATGGCAGACTAAAATGACCATGTGAACTAAAATAATTTATATTAAATGTTTTTATTTGTATAGCTGTTAACCTTGTTGTGGAAAACAGATTGAAGATTTAAATTTAGCCAAATAATTATCTATAATTATCTATTGCCTTACATACACAAACACCTTATAAAAATGATCTATCTACATGTAATTAAGAAAAATTACTATTTGTTGTAAAATCATTTTAATAAAAAAGAAACTTGTTTGCTATACTTACCGGCTCTTTAACAACAACATACTTTTGACATGTCGCAAACTCGAAACTTAATACAACAAATACAACCACAGAGGTTATGTTATTTCGTATGAAAACCATTATGAGTTCTCTCCACTACAACGACTGATAATAATATAACTGGAATCGTTAGGCTCATATAAAATAACACATGGTTGTAATCTTTAGCGTAGTTGGAAAATCCAAGTTCTTTAAAATTCATCAAATAAAATGGTGTAGTAAAGCCTCTAAATTAATAAAATATAAATTAAAAAACACATTGCAGTTAATTTCTTTTATTAATTCATTACTTTAATAAATATGGCGAGTGGTAATTTCCTTGCTGTTGCTATTTTGAATTAATAAAATAAATTAGGAATAAACAGTTTTGTTAAGACTGAACGTTAATCAAAACTATTAAAGCAATATGTAACATATACAGGGTGAGACTTTAAGTGCAAATATTTTTAGGGATAGTATATTTTAACCACAGAAACACAGTTATGAGATTTTTTTCGTGAAAAAAAAAATTGAAAATTTGGAATTTTTTGAAAAAAAATTTGGAGATTTTTTAGTTTTTAGTTAAAAAACATAATTTGTTGATAATATGGCAACATTGGTAGTGAATCAAATTTACAAGAAAGAAAATCCAGAAAAGATCCAGCGATTTTCAAAATTTTAGAAAAATTTTTTTTTGGAAATTTTCAAAATAAAATAACTCGGTTCTTTTGGATTTATTTGAACAACAGTAAAAAGAAAATATGTCTCTTTTCTCGAGATCTACAATCTCCGAAAATATTTGCACTTATTTAAGACCCACCCTGTATAATTTATTTATTAATTATATTAGAAGTTGAAACTAATTACTTTTATCTCACAGATTACATGTAATGTTAGAGTAAAAGAGAACTGTCTTGGTAGTCAGTTAAACTAAAATGTTTTGAACGTAAATATAGGATTATATGTCAAAAATTTGAAAGTAAATAATGTTAAAAATTTGATTGTGCGTCCAATTGTAAATTTTTACACAAATATAAAAAATGAATTAATAATAATTAAATACCAACTTGTGCTTTATTGATGAATGCCTAAAATGTATTATATTGTATTTTATATAATTTTCAATAAACACTATATTGTTATATTACACTCAGATGCAAAAAACGCAACGGAGAAATTTTTGGTCAATTTTTTTTAGTGTTATAATTTTGTTATTTTTAGCCTCGTTTTTACCTCTATTTTCATTAATTTTTAGCAAGCTGTATATAATTATATCAACTTTAATTCGTAAACTCAGTTTTTTATAAACTTTAGCATTTGGCATATTATACAGGGTTACTCGAGGGTTTGGTTTTTTACCCTAAATTTAAAACACGCTGTGCAATCATTTCGTGTGTAAATTTTCTTGAAATATAATTTTACGGTCACAACCATGTCTCCTGAGCACATCGTTTTTTGGATCATGTCAATATATGCCTTGGTTATTTTTAAGAGCGAAATGAACTTGACACCAACAATTTGCAATTTCTTTTTGAAGTTATTTTTCGATATGACAAGCCGGCATTGGTGAATTGTTGTGAACTATACATATCATGTTCGACGTTTGGGACATGTTTGGCAGGGAGGTTAGAGGTCGCGAAGCGGTTCCAGCTTTATTAAACGAACTTCGCTTGGTTATTAAAGAAGAATGGGAAAGCATAACGTAATATTTATGATATACATATGCAGCCTCAATGGCAGTATGAACAGACGTATACAGGCAGTTATAGCAGCCAAGGGAGGCAATGCAAAGTATTAGAGCATATTTTTGACATTTTTTTCTGTTTGTATACTTGAGTATTACAGATGCTTTCTTTAATATCTCGTCTGCATTGCTTCTCTCTACCCATGGCTGAAGTTTAGGTATAGGCTTGTAGGTCTACCTACCAGATTTTCCTTGCATCCATTCTTCTTGCCATTTGTGCATCAAATTTGCTCTTGCAGCATCTTTCGGTATCTTGTTGTATCTGTCAGCTTGTTCTTCTACTAAGATGTGAATAGAGAGAATACTAGATATTGCATTCAACGCGTCTGAGGAAACAGTTCTATATGCACTGGACACTTTTAGGTTCACCTTTCCATGGAAACTCGTTAACTTTTTTTTATATGTTACTTTGGACATTGCAACGTGCCACACGGGGGCGCTGTATAGCAATTCTGAGTGTATCACGCTTGCCAATACTCTTCTTTTTGATGCTCTTGGACCGCCCAATCTAGGCATCAGTTTACCCAGAGCTGTAAACGTTTTGTCTGCTTTTGCAATAGGCTTGTTTAGATGTTTAGCAAAGGTTAATTTTGAATCCAACCGTATACCGAGATATCTAAGAGCATTTTTTTAGAATGACTGATGTGCCGAGTATTTCAAAAGTTATTGACTGAATCATTCTTTTAGTGGTTACAAGTATAGCTTCGGTTTTTTTTGGCGCCAACAGGAGATTTTTATATTGTAACCAATTAGCCGGCTCTTTGCAGGCCAGTGTTATCCATGTTTGTCAATGCTTCCTCGGCTTTTGCAATTACTACCATAGCAACATCGTCCGCAAATCCGATTAATGTTATCCTTCTGGCATTCACGTCTCCAGTAGGTCATCATATAGCACGTTCCATAACGTGGGCCCACGGACCGATCCCTACGGAACATCGCTGTTGATTTCAATTTCCGTTTTCTTGTTATTTTCTTCTAGGATTATTTTCCGCTCAGAGAGATACGAGGTTACGATGTTTAGTACATCTGCTTTCAGTCTATAGAAAATAGAAGGTCTGTAGATAGAAATGTTTACACAGATGTTGACAAGATAACCTGAAAACTGAACTGACAGTAGGGGAAAAGGGGGAAATCACTAGGGTATTTTAATGTACCAACGTAAGGAATTACAGGGGAATTTTTAAGTATCTGGAGGAATTTCAATGAATTTTTGGGTATTTGGGGGTATTTCGAGGGAATTTCGGGGAATTTTAAAGGAATTTCGAAGGTATTGCGGGAAATTTTGCGGGAATGTCGATGAATTTTTTCTGAAAAGGGAATTTCAGGGTACAATTTTTTTAAGCCATCGTATTTTAGATGATGCCTAGTGGTGCGACTTCGGCAACCGGTTTCCTGAATCGTACCATATTTAGATGGTTTTAAAAACTGATATTTATATTGAAATATTGTCAATAAAAATCTGAAAAAAGTATATAAGACGAAATGTGGAAAAGATCAACATAAATCTTCGTAATAATCAACCACCCAGCCCGAAAAATTTGTTAGTTTTTCAAGGTTTAGTCTTATACTCCCCCCCCCCCTCCTATTTGTGATGTATATTCTTTCTCTTGCTCTTGTTATAACAAAATTAATAATATCAAACAAAAATATTTTATAGAAATTAATGTGATTTAATTCAGAGAAAGGTTAACATTTAATTTGTCAATCTAAGTGTAATTTCCTGATCATCAGGAATTCAGAAATGGGAAAAACCATGAGAATGTGAAGCGACCGACCTCTCTGCTTCAAGTATCAATATCATTGGAATTTCTCGATCTATTTAATATTCTTATTAAACGGCTTTGTTGTTTATTAATGGCATCAAGAATATATACAAAGATCTGAAAAACCCACTGAACGTGCGAAGCTCTGAACCAAAGCCAGGCCACAGTTGCATTTGTCGTCTGTCTGCCGCAATGTGTGACAAATATTGTTTTGTTTTGGCTTATCTGTGGTGAAAACTTTTAGCGCCTAACTAAATATGTTTTACAACAAAATATTTGTTTTAGCAGTTTATTATTTCGGTGAGTAGTGATACACATTATTGTGCATTATAAACTTTTATAATCTAAAATGGCATAGGCGTTATTAATATTATACTAAATTAATAAAAAAATCAGTTTAAAATTCAAAATTTTTTTCGGGGTTAATATTATTAAAAAAATATTTTTTTTATATTCAATTTATTAGAAGATGATTAAATAACATGATAAATTGATCTGTTTAATATGCACTTTTATAAACGCGTTTAAATTCCTTATAATGTATGTACAAGTTGTTTCAAAAATCATTGTGCCATCTCTTGTGGGGAGATTTGTTACATAAAAATAAGATTTAATTTTTATATCAACATAAAACAAAAAACAATCTACAAACTGTTGTAACCCTGTAACCCTACCTTTTATTATTTATTACATTTACATCTTTAATTTGTATACAATAATTAATTATTTTTAACATCAAACTTTAATACTTTATATCATGTTCATTTTATTTATTTTGATTATTTTAGATTATAATTAGATATAACATAAGTTAGCTAACCATACATATTTTTTATGTCCAAAATCTATATTCATTTCATCTTCGTTCTAGTATGTTAATTAATTATGTAAAACTTTTTCTGTTTTTGAGATTTCATATCACTTACACCTTATCAAATCTCTCATTAAGGGGGAAGGTGTTGTATCCCTGCCTAGATTAGATTATAATTTGTTATAATTTTTACACAATTTTGATAACGAGAAAAATAAAAGACAGTGGGACCGGCGCCGTCGCCGTCGATAGCCATGGTGAATATGTCGACTTTTTTTAGCATATTTAGCATTATTAGCATTTAAATTTCATTCGAATCGCTAAAAGTACTTGAAATAACATTATAATAAGTGATAAGTAAATTATTTTTTCGTGAGGATTTTCCCCACAAGAGATGGTACGCACATGTTGTTTGAAACACCCTGTATAATTTTGAAAAGATTGTGTTCAAAATAGTAAGTTTAGAAAAATGTCTACAACGTTGTGTTGGTTCATTTCTTGAATATAGCCTGGGAATTTCGTATTAAAAGGGAAATCTAAAAAGTAAAATATTTATATTTTGCTTGTAAAATACCAAAAGTCGGTTTATAAATTTTTGTATAATAAATAATAAATTTTACATTTTTATATAGATATTTAAATGTAATGTAGGTGATCGTTTTTCTACTCCTTTTAAAATCAATATAAATAAAATTGTATAATTTTAACAGTTTAGATGAAACGAACCTTATACAAATAAGATGCTTGATTATTTAGGCAGTTGGTATAACATTTTTAGTTGTGTTTTGTCTATTTATTTAATTAATTATCAATTTTGCAGCTGCTGTCAACTCCTTGATATTTGAAAATAATAATTCCAGTAGTTTGAATATTAAATATCACGTATCCAGTGATGAGGTAAGTCTAATTTTGAAGTATTCCATTGCATTAGTAACTTTCTTCTGTAATTATAGCAAAATTGGTTTCAAGCTCTAATAAGGTGCCATAATGCCGGTATGGAACTGGCAAGTATAAGGTCGAAAACGGACTACGACAATTTAGATAAATATCTGAAAGAAAATGGATTTAAAGGTGAGTAAGAATAAACTATAACATATTGGCAATAGATAGTCTTCGGTCGGTATCTATGGTCGGTATCTACATGTGTAGGGATGAATGTTATTTGATTGAGTGTTATTTACTTAATAATTTTATACTTGATAATATTAATTTGAGGCGTCAAGTTGCAAAACCCGCCTTATCCATTATTAGCCGACAATACCAACAAAAAAGCAAAAAAAGTTTTTTTAATTTCACTCAAAATGAGTTATTTGGGTCATAAATGACCTAAATACAAAATATTTGTATGGTGTCTGTCTGTCTGTCAGTCTGTCAGTCTGTCCGTCTGTCCGTCTGTCCGTCTGTCCGTCTGTCCGTCTGTCCGTCTGTCCGTCTGTCCGTCTGTCCGTCTGTCCGTCTGTCCGTCTGTCCGTCTGTCCGTCTGTCCGTCTGTCCGTCTGTCCGTCTGTCCGTCTGTCCGTCTGTCCGTCTGTCCGTCTGTCCGTCTGTCCGTCTGTCCGTCTGTCCGTCTGTCCGTCTGTCCGTCTGTCCGTCTGTCCGTCTGTCCGTCTGTCCGTCTGTCCGTCTGTCCGTCTGTCCGTCTGTCCGTCTGTCCGTCTGTCCGTCTGTCCGTCTGTCCGTCTGTCCGTCTGTCCGTCTGTCCGTCTGTCCGTCTGTCCGTCTGTCCGTCTGTCCGTCTGTCCGTCTGTCTAACACGATAACTCAAAAACCTAACCTAACCAAATTTGGCACAAAAATACTGTGGCACCTGAGAATCTGGCCATTAGTTTTTGGTGGGGGTGGGGCGTTGGTAAGGGGGTATGGGAGGGGATTAAAAATTTTAAAAAATCGTAACTCCAAAATTACGGTAGCTAGCGAAACGCGGTTTTCAATTTAAGATTAGGAATAATATTTGCAACAAAATTTGTAATAACATCAAAATCAGTCAAAGTAGCAGTTTTTGAGATAAAAAAAAAGTGGAAAAGTTCCTTTACTTTGAAACTAAAAGAACTGCCTGTCAACTTTTTATTAACATATTTTAGTATGGGCGGCTATACGTGCCTGCCGGCGCCAATTTTTTTTTAAGTGGCATAATGACATAATATATTGATACTGGATCCTGAAATCTACATAAACATAGTCTCAAAATGCAGTAACAGTCGCCTATTCCTATATAAAATTCACTACAAATTACGTTACTGCAGCAAAATCCGTCTTATACACTTATATTTGCTTTGTATTGCTTTCTAATTGGGTTGCTTTGGTTTGGTTTGTTTTGGTTTGGTTTGTTGGCTGGCTTCTGTTTATTTTTGGTTTTTTCTTCAGTATGGCATTGATATCTAAAATACAGTATCTCCTAGGTTAAGTTCATACCTACACAAGATAGGTGTTTGGAATGTAAAGCAGGAACATATTTTCATGATTTCAGGTATTCTAAAGTTAACACTATTTTATGAAAATTGCGAATTTCCTCAGAAAGTCGTTTGTGTGTTTTGTTTATGTTTGGAAAAGTGTTCAGAAAGTAATGCAGGAACATGTTTTCATTTAACTGATTTCAGTTATTCTATATAGTCGGAAAAAAGAGAATGATAGATTTCCGCAGAGAATTTTTTTTTGCTTTTTTGTTTGGGGAGGCTTCTATATTTCCTCCTTCTACACAAAACTACTAAAGTTATGCGTTGACAGGCAATTTTCAGTCGGTTGACTATTTAGTTGCAGATTTGTGACCAATATATTCTTATAGAGTCGCGCTCACATGCAATCAAATAGTCAGCATAATCTATGCGCTGACATATCGTTGGCTTTATAACGAAAAGGCGTATCTCGATTTTTACTACTTTTCAGGAGAGCAATTTAAAGAAAATTGCTTAGTTACTTAATAACCAATAAATGTAAAGTCTTTAATTTATTGAGGAGAAATTAAATTCTAATAAATAATTTATTTTTGTTGTTTAGTAAAGATAGACCTATTTATTTTAATATAATACATTTATTATCGACCGAATAGTATACATACGCCTATGTAAAATAAATTTAAAAATGAGGATAAAGTGATACATACAAGAAAAAAATAGAAATCACCAAAAAATCAGAAACAAATATTTTTAAATACTTTTATTGGGGTGTTGAATTAAATCAACTGAAAACAAAGACAGTGTTCATTCTAGAAGCAAAAACAACAATATATGAAAATACTCTCTAGCTTATTTTAATAATATTGTTTTTATACGAAAATAATTTTTTAAGCATTAATATATTTTTAGTAATTATTTAGTTAGTTGAGGCAATTATTTAAAATAAAACCTCTTCTGATGATATATTGACATTAATGATTTAATGATATTTTCGTAATATTATAGGTTTTGACCCCGAGTTTAGTTTAGATTGTGATGTTGAAAAAATTAGTTATCGTTTTAGATTTACTGTTCTATAACATTCAGGAATTACCGGTAACATCTTTTTGGGCATAAATAATTCGCCTGTTTTTTATTGCATGAGCAATACAACAGATCTAGTAAAATTGCCTGAAAACAATTCACCGAAGTAGAATTACGCGAAAACAATTGATCGAAAAGAAAATTAACCAAAAAGATACTTGCCCGTACAGAAAAATTGTCGAATTTCAGTTGGCCAATTAATAAAACCCCAAACTAAACAAAAATTACACATGTTTCTTCATCCGTGCCTTTTTGATACAAATAACTGTGAAGTACGTAACAATTTCTGTTTCCCTGTTCACTGATTGGAAATTCGACTTCCATTCTACATATTTAAAAACTGGAGATAAACTGGATGATGATAGGCACAATAAAAACAATTTTCTAGAAATTGGCAGGGTTGGCAATGACAATGGCCTGACAATGATAATGAGCTGGCAATTAAAATGGACAATTATTGTGTTTTTTCGGAAAACCTTCTGGTTCGCTAAAATGTTCTTAGGGAAACTATGATTTCGGGCAATTTTCCATTAGAACAGTCTTCGTTTCGGTAATTTGCTTTCGGTCAATTTTTCTTCGGCCATTTGTCTACGGACAATTTTCTGGATACGCAATATAGCTATGTGCAAAGTCTAACTCGTTATAAGCATAGTTTGTTGCAAAAATCCATAGACTTATTTCTTTCAAGTGTGTTGAATCAGCCACACTGTAAAAGAGCTGCTGCCTTTAGAAAAGAAAGCAACTACCTTACTTTTGTTTTGTCCCAGGCAGCCATCAGAAAATAATAGGCAGAATGTGTCATTTTCTCCCGCACGCATTCTCATAACTTAAAATAAAGGACCTACCTCAAATTCCATATTTCTTGTAGTATAAAAATTAGTATAACAACTGATATAACAAAGAGCCCTATCTCAACATACGTTTCTTCGTCAGAACAAAGAATTCTAGTATTTGAGATGAGGCAAATTTTTAAATGAATATAAAATGAAAAAGGTATAATATCGAGATGCTCAAATTCTCTATGTTTAAAAATGACCCAATGGGCATATCATGACGTTGATATTTCAAAATCGCCAAAAATCGGCTTACGCCTTTTCGTCATAAAGCCGAATTGATTACAAATTTGCAACTAAACAATCAGCCGACTAAAAATTCTCTGTCAGCGCAGGGGCTTAACGGAAACGTATTATTAAAAATCATTCAAAAATATCACATGCTTTTAAATTCTTTAAATGATTTCCCTTTAACGGAAGATATTAAAATTATTTTTATAACTAGAGAAAACGTAAACCTTAATAAACAAATTATATAACTAATAGACACAAAATTTATGTTGAAATCTAAAAATAAAATTAACTACTATAAATTGTAATTTGTTTCACATTAGTTAAGCTAATACATAATATGAGATCTGATATTGAACAAGGTTGATATGAAACATTAGTTAAATGGGTATGCTTCCTCGAAACCAGTTAAAATTATGTTGTATTTTAATAATAAATATTGTGCTTTAAATAGGTAATACTAATAGTCTTTATTGTACTCATAATAGAAATTTAATGCGAACATACAATTTCCGATGCCAGAAAATTGTCTACCTAGGTATATATTCATTTAACAATTAAAGAGATAAATAAATTAGAATTCCATATTACGACTATATTTGTAGCCAAAAAATGGTGGTATGATTTGCTACACTCTGTACTCTGTATCAATTTAAAAGAATGTAATGGTTTTTCATGAAATTTTTTAAAAATATATTATTTAGCGTTAAATTGTACAGGGTGTTTCAAAAAACATGTGCCATCTCTCGTGGGGAGATTCCTCACGTAAAAATAAGATTTATTTATGAACACATAGGTCCGATTCTGCTTTGTTTCGTAGTTACAGGGTGTTAAAGTCTTATTATATTTTTGATTTATTGTAATTTTCTTTCAAGTACTTTTAGTGTTTCGAATGAAATTTTGATGGTATTTTAAATCTAAAAATGTGTCAACATATTCACCAGGGACGTGCATATGGGTTATCAGTGGAATATTTTTTCTAAAAAAAGCTTGTACGCCACTGACTTTTTTTTTGTTAGTAAAATAGTGTAAGCAGTTTAATGCCGATTAAAAGTTGTCTCTTGATATTTTATCGATTTCGGCCTCCTTGATGAGATAAACGCAATTTTATTAATTTGTCTTGCCAAGTCTAATAGCAACCTTTAAAAGAAATGAATATCATCAACTTGCGAAAGTTTTAAATAAATTCTATAAAAATGGGTATGGAAATGCATAGTTTTAGAGTTACAGGATGTTAAAACTTCTTAAAATTATTTTTTTTGTAATTATCTTAAATACCATTATTTTTTAATTAGAAATTGCTGTATGTTGGATTAATAGTAATAATAACTAAGTGGGAATAATAACTAAAGTGGGATATAATAATAACTAAGTGGGAAAGATCATACACCAAGAACTAGCATTAAAGTATAAACTCATTGAGCATAAAGTTAACTATTATCAGTACGAACCTGCTACAATCCTTGAAAACAATGAATATGAAATGTACTGGGACAGAACTATAATAACAGATAAAAGACTAGAACACAATAGACCAGACATAGTAGTGAAGAAGAAAAAAGAAAATGAAGTGTTGCTCATAGATTTTGCGGTGACAAACAACAATAACCTAACACAAACATACAGAGAGAAGATTACCAAATATATTGATTTATGTTTTGAAATTAAGGATATGTGGAAATACGATCGAGTCCGGGTCATCCCATTAGTACTATCGAATATGGGTGTAATACCAAAAACACTAACTGAATCGCTGAAGGCAATAGACTTAGAACCATACCACTACCAACTTATGCAAAAATCTGTAATCCTTAACACCTGCTATACAGCAAGGCGATTTCTATACATGTAACTTAACCGGGAACGTTTCTAAGGCAGAAAAGTTATCACCATCATGGTTGAGAGGAGTCACTCCTCCAACCACGAGAAACCGACGGATGTAGTTGGGATAAAACGACATTATAACTAATAGTAATAATATTTAATAATAAATTAGATAAAATATATAATTTATTAATTTAATTTTTATTTTAATTTTATTAATTGTGATTAATAAAATTGCGTTTATCTCATCAAGAAGGCCGAATTTGACAAAATATCAAGGGACAAATATACATTGATAACCCATATGCACGTCCCTGATGAATTTTTGACCCTTCATTTGCATTAAAATATGTAAGACTTATAGTAACTCTTTTTTATTCAAAAGACCAAAGGTACCTGGAAGAAAATTACAATAAATCGATAGAAAAATAAAGAAAGACTTTAACATCCTGTAGCTACGGAACAAAGCAGAATAGGACCTATGTTGATCTGAAAAATAAGTCTTATTTTTACATTAAGAATTTTTCCACGAGAGATGGCACATGTTTTTTGAAACACCCTGTATAATAAATTGTAATATTTTCAGCAAGAGTCTTGCTTTTATATTTTTTTCCGCTAGTTCTGATAAGGAAGTAAACGGGTAAATACCGGTAAACCCATGTGTTTGAATTTACGGATTACTGGTAAATTAAAAAGTCGGAAAATTTGCAATCCCTAGTCATGGTTCTTCATTCTTTTTATTTTAACATAGTACATTTCGATCTTCAACAGTTTTCAAGCACAATATAATTTAAGCTTTTATCAAACTTTATGTTTATCTTACAGGAGGATACTGGCTGTCAGCAACAAATTTGGGCAACGGAAATTACTACTGGGCGTCATCTGGATCTGCGGTTATATATTCAAACTGGTTGCCTAATCAGCCGGATAATGCTAAATTAGCTGAGAACAAGTACAAGGGTGAGAATTGTATCCAATGGGGCATTTACAATTCAAATCCGGAGCCATCCGGTTGGAACGATATGCACTGTAATTACAAAATAAGATATATTTGTCAGGAAACTGACGTTTGTGAATAAAGTTTATATCGGAGTGTGTTGTAATAACGCTCAAAATGTAATCTTAATTTTACTAGTTTCTAGGATAGGATTTCTAGATTTCTTGGAACAAACCTTTGGAACTGCGGGAACTATACTGCCGTGTTAACAAAAAAACCTTTATCTCAAAAGTTAAGTTTTTTTATTGTTATTACTTCTAAATAAGGGTACTCATATACAGGGTCCGGACTGTATTCCCGAAATTTTGGCAGTATATCCTGCAGATAAAAATAAGCAAAAAAGTTCGTAGAAATGTATGTCCTAAGATGCTTAGTTTCGGAGATACGGGGTGTAGAAGTTTAATTTTTATTTCGATTTTTTCCAAATAATCTGAAGCAACGTCAATATTTAGGTGAAAATTGGTATCTGGGAGTTTTTTGACCTGAGAAATTTGATTTTGATGTCAATATGACTCCTATTTGTAGAGAGCGCCACCTACATGTGTTTTAACTGTTTTAAAGAGTAATAACTTTTTGTCCGTACCTGTATAAACCTACTGAGTGAAAAAATATTCATTTCCGTGATTTTTACGTAAAAAATGTCTTTTGGTAAAAATCGCTATAAGCAACCGTTCTGAAGATATTTAGAATGGAATTAGTCAACACATTATAGTATAAGAGCTAGCAACGTTTTCGAGAAAGTATTTTAAGACGTCTGGCTCTTTGATATATCTTTTACTATGCTCTCTGGAACAGCATGAGGCCCGTCTGGCTGCCGATACCCGTTGCGTTCACTACTGCGCATCGAAAGAAGATCCTATTTTTTTTTATTAATTTAGTCCTATAAATTCTAGTATTGAATATAAATCGAACATGTCTCTATAGCGCAGTGCGTATGGTTTCCGACCACGAATCGATGATTCAGAGTTCGAATCCGGGTCAGGTCAAAGACTTTTTTATTTTATTTTCGTTTATATTTGGATAGTAAAGTATTAAATAATTCTGGTAATTAAAACAAAACAAATATTTAATACTTTACTATCAGAATATAAACGAAAATAAAATAAAAAAGTCTTACCTGATCCGGATTCGAACTCTGAATCATCGGTTCGTGGTCGGAAACTCTACGCACTGCGCTATAGAGACATGTTCGATTAATATTCAATACTAAAATTTAAAGGACTAATAAAAATAGCGGATCTTCTTTCAATGCGCAGTAGAGAACGCAACGTTTACCGGCAGCCAAACGGGCCGCATGCTGTTCTAGAGAGCATAGTAAAAGATATATCAAAGAGCCAAACGTCTTAAAATACCTGTTTTTTTCCGACGTTGCTGGCTCTCGTACTATTAGTGACAAAAAAGAAAGATGTTGGGTAGATAGTTATTTGGCTAAAATATTAATTTGGAAATTTTTTATTATTTAAATTAATCATAAATTTATTTTCGAACAAATGATGAAAAAATAGTTTCTGTTGAACTTTTGACACAAAAACATTTCAAACTTATGATTTCAGTCTCATAACTATTTAGTCAACATATTTAATTTATGTCAATCATGAAAGATATTGATAATTTCAATTCCAAATATCTCGAGAACCATTACTCCTAGCGATTTTCTCCGAGACTCTTTTAGGTAAAAAATGTCGTGAATATACAGTGTGTCCACGGATTGACTCCCAAAGAGGGAAAACTTTTTTATTCGTGGGTTTATGAAAAAAAGTTATTCTTCATAAAAACTCCTGCTTGAGCTTAAACGACCAACAGGCATATTATTTTTACAAATTTTATACCGAGTGTTAAAAATTTTAAAAAATATGGAAAACGCTTAGAACAAATAAGTACTTGTATATGTAAAAATACGAGGAAAAGTTATTAATAATAGTTCTAGGGATTGAAAAACTACACCACGTTACCAAATTTTATCTCACTACCTAAATGTACAGGGATTGGTAAAAGATTCCTCTCCATATAAAATACCATTTTCTCTAAATTATTTTTTTTTGGAATAACACCTGCTACAACCTGCCTTTATTATCTATTATTTGTTTGCAACAATATTTTTTATTTTTCATTCGTTTTCTAAAAAAAAAGTTCAATAATTAATCGTGTACGATTTTTATTTTATAGCCCCCATTGGTTAATTTAAAAAGGGAAGTAATGAAATTGCGTAAAGGTAAACAAGGATTTAAAAGTTATTCAAAAAGAAATTAAGTTAATTTAGAGTAAATGGTATTTTATATGGAGAGGAATCTTTTACCAATCCCTGTACGTTTTAGGTAGTGAGATAAAATTTGGTAACGTGGTGTAGTTTTTCAATCCCTAGAACTTTTATTAATAACTTTTCATCGTATTTTTACATATACAAGTATTTTGTTCTTAGCGTTTTCCATATTTTTTAGACTTTTTAACACTCGGTATATACATTTGTAAAAATAATATTCCTGTTGGTCGTTTAATCTCAAGCAGGAGTTTTTATAAAGAATAACTTTTTTTCATAAACCCACGAATAAAAAAATTTTCCCTCTTTGGGAGTCAATCCGTGGACACACTGTATATTTTTTTACTCAGTAGTTTTATACAGGTACGGACAAAAAGTTATTACACCTCAAACTAGTTAAAATTATGTTGGAGGCGCCCTCTACAAGTAGGAGTCATATTGACATCAAAATCAAATCTCTCGTGCCAAAAAACTCCCAGACACCAATTTTTATATAAAAATATTGCCGTTACTTCAGAAATTATTTGGAAAAAATCGAAATAAAAATGAAACTTCTACACCCTGTATCTCCGAAACTAAGCATTTTGGGACATACACTTATACGAACGTTTTACTTTTTTTTATCTACACGCTCTCAGCCTGAATGTACCTTAAGGCATTCTGTTTAAAACCTAGGTATCCTATAAAACGACTAACGTTTTCATACATTGTTTAAAATTCAAATGTTTTTATCAGCCAAGTCGAGCACGCCATACCGTCTTGTTCTCGAAGGTATTAGCGGCACTTTTTACCACCCTGTAACTTCGTTGTGGATAAAACAAGAATATTAATTTTCACTATACCTGAAGATATGCTATAGATGGCTAGGTTACCAAAATATCTAGTAAATATACCTCATAGTTTATGAATTATCGCTGGTCAAATTTCTTATTTAATTTTAACATTGACTCACTGACAGATCATCAAAATTCTAAGGTACACACGTAAGGTGTCACAAACTGTTAACATTTCGAATTTTAGATAAATTTATACTTATAATGGAAGGAAAAAATTAAAAATCTCGAAATATCCTTATGGATTAAAAGTTAGCTGTCTAGCCGCTACCGGTAACTGACTTTCCAGTCGAGAAAAAGGTAGAAAACTAGAATTAATGGAAGCGGTCTCTTCTGATTTTATTTGTAAATATGAATGTACCGACAATAATTCAAGGATTATCAATTTTTTCTAGTCAAACTTGTTTAACTTCGCTAGTGACTCACTTGCTGTCATCAAAATTCAAAGCTACTTCTAGATGTGTCACTAACTTCAAATTATGAATTTTAGTTAGCATTAAGCGTATAACGCAAGGAAAAAATGAAATATCCCAAAATATCCTCAAAGTTAGCTGTCTAGCCGCTACCGGTAACCGACTTTCCGGCGATGGTAATGGAAGACCGGTGATAGGATTGTTTTGAAAATTTTGATTTTTATATTGATGGTATATTGTTGCCGGATCATTTAAAAAGTGGTAGCATCTTTGTTATTTTAAACGGAACATCCAGTATATTATTACATTGTTGGAAACTACTCTTATATATGATAAAATTTCTATTATAGGCTTGGTGCATTCTCCGCTGATGCTGTTTCCACCATCGGAGAATATCGTAAACAACTAGTACTTAGAAATACACGGGTTTAAATAGCGAGAATACGAAAAATTTATTACTTAATTATTCTAAAAGTGTTCAGATCATATTGGCAATTGCACAGCACCATAATTATAAAAAAATAATCTACTATCTCGATTACTAAGTATATCTAAACAGTGCCCTTAAAAATAAAGTTTTTCAATTAGAATAGAATATAAGACTAATATTGATATTAACAATTATAACAAATCCCGGAGTTTAACCATAGTTTTTTCATTGCAAATAATTAATCTTCATACAATCTTATGACACCCGTATTTTTTTATTTTACTTCAATTTCATCCCATTTTTAAAAAAAAATTAATCAATATTAAGAATTTCAAATTTACACTATTGCAATCTCTGACGTCACCTATCAAAAGTGTCACTCGAGTGTCACGGTTTGCCACCGGGTACAAAGGTAAATAAAAACCATTTTTCTAAATGTATTTTAAAGTAGATATAACATTAATTGTAAAATAAAACTTAAGGAACTTACGTTAAAATGATCTTCACAGTAAAATCTCGTACTTTTGCTGACATATTGTTGTCTTGCCGCTTCAAACCAGGCTCTTGGACGGCTTTCATCCAAAGGAACAGTTATTAAAACTTTTTCTGGAGAGCCTTCAGAGATATTTAGACAGCCCTTCACAAAACAAACTTTAATACCTTTCATTACAAAAATAATAAAGGGGGTACAATAAAACAAAATTGAAAACTCAAAGTATTTAACGCCAAACGCAAAATCAACAAAATACAAATCTAACCTCGAACGCCTCGAACAAATTTTAATGCTTCGTTAAAAATGGCAGTAACCTGTTAATTATAAAAATTTAAGTTTTAATTTCTAGTAGTGAAAAATATAAAAGTAAATTTAATATTGGGGTAATAAAAATAATCCCACATAAAAACGTATTTTTTAACGATCTTAATAAAAATAGAAGAGAACTAGACACGCCATAATATTATTCTTCAGAGGCTGGAGCGCCCTCTGTCAACTATTCAGTCAAATGCTGATAGGTGACGTCACAATTTTCTACGCGTCATTTCGAACCAGTGAAATTTGTATTGAATTTGATTTATTATTTATTCCTTAATTGTAACTTCGTTGCATTTCTTTTTGTATTGAGGGAGTACTTTTTAATCACTTCAATTGAATTTTATATTAAAAATAACAAAAATTTACTATGGTTAAACACCGGCGGATTGTTGAATACGTGCTAAAAGAGAGACTAAATAAAATAAACTGACTTGGTTTTACATGAGATCTCACAACTTTTTATGGAAACTTTTTATCACAACTTACTTTTTATGTGGAAGAATTGTGTTGCGAGACTTGACATTTTTTACATTCTATGTTTTTGATGGGATAATATATTTCATACAATGCCTGATATTTTTTGTTTGCCTGATAGATTTTATATCATACCTAGGAATCCTATACAATGTCGGATTTCAATCTCTATAGGTAACATAATATTATGTATAGGATGATACAAACTAGGCGCTCTGACGATCAAAAACTGGCTATTGAAGTCTTAGAGGCAATAGTTATACCGCCATGCACCACCATCGTTAACTATCGTTAACATTAGTTACAACCAATGGAAACAGAAGAAATCCCATGCAAATTTTGAACTATCCAAATATTGACTCCCCTGTTGATTTGTAAAAATGTTTAAAGACTTTTTTACGTCTTCGCAGTGAGTTTTGCATTGTTACCTTTTTGTTGTTTTAATTTTAACATAGATGCAGTTTTTCTTAAATTAGTTAAAAAGGCTTGCTCAAGATTGTCCAAATTTGGCATGTGTTTTCAGCATACCTAGACCTTTAAAAAACCTATTTACGACTTTGCTGTAAAATCAACAGGGGAGCCAATATTTAGCAGCAGTTGAAAATTTGCATGAGGTTTCCTATATTTCTAATGCCAACGCACCACCCGGTATACGTACTTCCTTTCCCAAAAGAAGTTGTCTCTCAACCCTGGAAGTTGTCTGCCATTTTAATACAAATAAATGTATCTTGTTCCTGTTTGGATGTCGTTTGTCAAAATTATATTTTATTTTATACTTTTTTGAATTTATTATGCCTTATGTTTATCTATAAAAGAACAAAAAAAACACCAACAACATTCTTATTATATAATTTATTTTGAAGTTGATAAAAACTCTAATTCACATTAACAGATATTGTCAGTCAGGAGTTTTAGTATCTTTTGCACCTTGTACAAAAACCTAGATTTCATCCTTAGTTGTTTTTATCGCGTGCTTTCTTTAAGAATATTATGTGAAAGTAAATAATTTATAGAAATAAGTATTATTGCATTATATTCTATTTATAGTACTTTTGTTCACTTTCGTATTTCTGTATTGCTTGAGTCGTTTGTCTAAATAATTGTTAATAAGTGATATGTTTATTATTAAATTAAAGTCTACCATTAATATTTGAGCAACAATTCTGGCGTTTAAAACATATGCAACATTACAAGAAAGAAGAGTTAAACCTTTTTAAATTGATTGTTTTCGCATATATGTACGTCTAAAATAAATTAATTATTTTTAATGTAAAATAAAAAAAACAGTCCTTAAAATACTAAAACAATACCTTTTTAGATCTACCTTCCTTAATACTAAGTTGTAACAAATGTTATTAACATGTTAAAATATACTGATTATAAGAGGTTTTATAAAACCTTCAGGGTTTATATACTTATATGAATTATGTATAGGTACTTCATATTGCTACATATTTTACATGTTACAATTATTTTTTACGCTAAAATTTTTTACATATGTACAAAATTAAAACTACAAATTAAACAAAATGAATGTTAATTCATTTTCGTCATACTATATTGTTATATTATTATAACATAAGCAAAATCAGAATGGAAAAGATGCATATAACGTCCGCCGGACGTTATCATAACGGCCGGCGGCCGTTAAGTTTCTAAGGTAATCGTAACGTCTGTCACCTGCAACAATGACTATTTATTGTCAGTTGGACTTTTCAAAAAATTGGGAAAATAGACCATAGCGAGATGTCGCGAGAAATTCCGTTGGAAATACAGGAGGAAGCGGCTGCGGCTACTCAAAATTTACTTCCGACTATAACCAGAGAGAGATATCAGCAGGAATATGACAATTTTTTGAAGTGGCGGCAGGATAGAAGTATAAACAGCGTAAATGAAGCGGTATTGCTGGCTTATGCTAAAAGAATGTCTGAAATGTATTCTCCTACATCACTGTGGACAAAGATATCCATGCTGAAGCTTGCGTTGAGAGTATATGAAAACATCGACATATCAAGGTAAAAAGCCATTATATTCTTCGATATTTAATCATACTCATCTAAATTATATTTGTTCATAGATTTGGTAAACTGTTCATGTTTCTGAGGCGCAAAAACGAAGGTTATTCACCAAAAAGCCAAAGTTCTGTCGGAGAATGACATAAATAATTTTCTACTGGATGCCGATGATTACACCTGGTTACTCGAAAAAATTGTATTGGTGCTTGGTATTCTTGGAGCTTGTAGGCGCAGCGAGCTTTGGTCACTCACAGTTGATGATTTCGAAGATTCGAGAGAAAATATTCTTGTCTCATTAAGAAATACTAAAAATAAGAAAGATAGGAAATTTCTTATTCCAAAACGGGCCTTCCGTTTGATGCCTATGGTTTATACAAAAATACATCAACCTGCGTCCTCGTAACTTTGACAATCCAAAATTTTTCATTGGTTACAAGAAAGGCAAGTGTGTTAAGCAAATCGTCGGTATACATACCATCGGGAGCGTACCGCAGAAAATTGCAAAATTTTTGAACTTGGAGAATCCAGAACGTTATACAGGGCATTCATTTCGTAGATCATCAGCAACCATGCTCGCCGAAAATGGTGGTGATTTACTATCGCTAAAGGAGCTAGGAGGATGGGAGTCTTCAACAGTGGCAGAAACTTACATAGAAAAATCAGTTTCCAAAAGAATGAAAATAACAAATCAACTTTTTTCATGATAGCTCCAAAAATAATGTGTCTTTAGTGGATACAAATATTTGCCATTCTTCAGTAGCATCATCTTCTTCTATAAAATCTGTAAATCCCTGGGAAGGATTACAGATTTCTAAGAACAACAAGTGCACTTTTAATTTCCATGTTCATTATCATGAAAAATGAATTTTAGTATAAGACATTATGTATTTTTTTATCCTTACTTGTGTTATTGTTCAATAAAATTTGTTATTAAATAGTAGTGTTTATTGCTCTAAAAAATCTGCAGTATGACGAAAAATCTAGAACGCAACACGGCCGATAACAAATAACGGCCTTGGCTGCTTATGATCCTCGGCTATCGCCTCGGATCACAAACTTCAGCCCGGCCGTTATTAGTTGTTTATCGGCCTTATTACGTTAATAACTATATAAGGTTGAAATAATGTTATTTCATTATAATGTTGAATATATGTATAATAAGATATATCTTAAAATACTTACTACAATAATTTGCAGCCAATTGCAACATCACTAAAAATATTAAAGTTAGATAAAAACCAACAAGGCGACAGTTTTACCCATTGTCTACAAATACTTTTGCTACTACTATTTTTAAAATAACGTGAAAATAAAAAAAATCAAGTGAAAATAACTAAAAAAATTCAGAGTTATTTAACACTGAAAATATAGAAAACTAATGATCACTTTTTGAGAATAGCTTGGCATCATCATAGCACTAACAAAATTACGACTCGTAAAATTACATCAAAGTACTCTACTAAAAAAATAATGTCAGTAGTCAGTAGATATTTTTGGAGTAGAATAATTTTAAAATAATTAATATTTTGAATATTAAAAAAATGAGGGTCTTTGTTAAAAGAAATATTTGTAAGTAATACTCTGACACTATTTTTTTATTTAACCATCATTTAAATATACATCCCTTATAATACTTATTTTTTAGTATTGCCTTCAATAATACACTGCTGAACATAAAACGAGTCATTATAACACTGGTCTGCAAAAATTTGTTATTTAGTACTATTATTAGCTTATTATTATTTCGTGAGCAAATTTTCCTAAAACATTATTCTTTGGTCAGAACCATGTCTCCTGAATATTTTGTTTTTCGACATGTGATATTTTCATGTCAACACATACCTTAGTTAATTTTTAAGAGCAAAATAAACTTGCCACTAATATTTTACAATTTTTTCAATTATCGTATTTTTGATGTTATTCTTCATAATGATCAGGTGGCTTTGGTGATTATTGTTGTGTACGATTGAATATGGTTCTTAGTGTCAAAGATTGTGCAAAAGTCATTGATCTTGTTGAAAATGACCGAAATTATGAATATTCGCTTGGTCCTTGAAGGAGAGTGGGAAAACATAACGCAATATATTTTCAACCTCATTAATAGTATGAACTGTCTACAGACAGTTATAGCCGCCCGGGGAGCCAATACAAAATATTCGAGTATTTTTTCAAGTTCTTTGTTTGTTAGTACACTTAGTTATTGCAGTTATTTTGTTTAATATCCGTAGTCTTGTTAGTGTTACTAATATTTATTAAAACCAAGCCTGTATCGTTACTTTTAAACGTTTTTCAAATTTTAATATAGAGTTCTAATCAGTGTCGGTATTACATTACGGCAATAGAAACCAAAGCCACCTCGTGATTTTCAGAAATATCATCATAAGGTAACGATAGTTGAAAACATTGCAAATTGTTGGTGGCAAGTTCATTTCGCACTTAAAAATTAACCAAGGTATGTGTTGACATGAGTCAAAAAACAGAATGTTCAGGAGACATGGTTATGTTTGAAAAATAATGTTTTAGGAAAAATTACTCAAGAAATTCTTGCACAGGGTCTTTTAAAGGTATAGGGTAAAAAAATAACTCTATTCGATTAACCCTGTAAAATAAGTTAAATATTAAAATTTATAATAAACTGAGTTTACGAATGAAAGTTGATATATTTATATACAGTTTGCTAAAAAAAATGATGAAAATAGTGCTAAAAGTAAAAAAATAAAACACTTTAAACTTCACGAAAAAATGTTCCGTTGTGTTTTTTTCATCTGAGTGTATTATAAAATATTGTTTCAAGTTGCTAAAAACAAATTGTGAGTTTTTAAAGAAATCTTATTAAAGGCACCAGAGTTTGCAATAACATGCACAACGTTATTTCAAAATTTCACTTAAAAGGATCTAAATTTTAGCATATACAATATCGAACAATTACAATTCTACCAGTCTTCAGATAAAAATCCTTTTAGAGATTTTTTACCTAAATTAAATTAACTACGGATTTTTCTAACACAGCCCACTTTTAAACTCTAAAAAAGTGTGTTCGGTTACAGATACAATAACGTTCCTTTGCTCTTGTCGCCAGTTTCTTATTATCACTACCAGCAGTACCACTACGGTTGCCGTAATCACTAGCGCTAGTGCTGCTAGCGCTATGGAATTCAAATAGGCGTAGGGGAAGCTGGAATTGACGGAACAGTTGGCCTCTTGCTCGTCGTTGCCCGAAGGACAGTGACGGAGACCGTCGCACCACAACTTCGAACTTATGCAAGCGCCTAGTTCCGGACAACTGAAACCAAAAAGAGCACTTTTTGTTTTGAATCATATCAAAGTTGCGCTATATATGTTTTTATTTTTGAGGTAATACAAAATATAAAAGAATTGTCTAATTATTAATTCTAACTTGCGAATTTTAATATTTTCATTAAAAATCTCTGACAACAATTAACTTTTTGTTGCTAAGATGAAATTTTAAACGGCAACTGACATACCGGGTGCGTCTCGAAAGTGGCTCACCCCTATAACTTTTTATTTTTTCAGATTAAAAAACTGAATTTTGGTATGTTAGTATATGACATAAATTAGGATTGATTCACGTATTCAATTGTTTTTGGTCATTTCCTTTTGTACCGGAAATGACTACAACTTTTGATTTTCAAATCACACCGGTGGTATTTTTTTATTTTTTTCTGATGGAAAATGACATTCTGAATAGAATGACGTATCATGTGTCAACGTTTGACATTCTCGCTTAATAAAAAATCGTATTTTAAATTTCAATTTAGAGTGTTATGCCTATGCTAAAAACACTAATTCTTAATCAAGGAGCCTTGGAAAAATAGATTCCATCGTCTAACGTTTTTAATGTCTTGTCCTGGCCAGTTAGAAAATGCTCAAATCGAATTTTTAATTATATCTCAATTTTTTCAAAAGGAACGGGGGTGGTCCATTATTAATTATTTGTAAAAAGCATTTTTTACGAATAATTTGATAACCACACACTTGTTATTTCGAGTCAAATTTTCGTTATAAACCGCATGTTATAATTTCAAAAAAAAACAAATGCGAAAATGTCAATCTTTGACATTTGACATATGATATGTCATTCTATTCAGAGTATTATTTTCTATCAAATAAAGTAAAAAAATGGCGAGGGTGCCATTTAAAAATTAAAAGTTTTAGTAATTTCCGGTGAAACAGGAAGTGACCGAAAACAATTATACGTCAATCAATCTCAATTTATGTCATATATTAACATACCAAATCTCGTTTTTTAACTGAAAAAATAAAAAAGTTATAGAGGTGAGCCACTTTTGAGACGCACCCGGTATATCTACAGGGTTGTTTGCCACATACGACACGGAGTATTGTAGATAAACGATTAGATTTTTACAAATTGTAAGTTTTGGGTTCGTTGGAGGAGTAATAGAGCTACAAATTAAAAATATTTTTACAAGATACAGAGTGGCTCAAATAAATAAAAATATCAAAGTTGTATTTTTTAAATGGATCACCTTTTATATTTTTACATTTTTAGTTTCTATGTTTAAAATAAAGGTTAATTTGTTTAAGGTTTTGCACCCTTAAACCTCACCGTTCTTGAAATATTTTCAAATTTGTGAAATTGCAGTAAAAATTTTAAGGCTTTATTTCTCCAAGGGTATGAAAGTTTTTAATACTAAATATTTACTGAAGTTTAATTATTGATCAGTTATTGCGTTGTAATATTAAAAATAATTCTACCTCATACAGAGTGTCTAAAAAATTATTTTAAATAATTTCTAATTTTAAACGGCAATAACTTGTTTAATAAATGAAAAATATATATTTTTCAGCCCCTCTTAAAAAAATTATTAAAAATACAAGAACTGTTCTGACATCAAAACTATATTAGGTATTTACTTTAGATGGTCTGTTCTTACTTTGCTATAAAATATAGCAATTGTAAATCATACAGGATGTTCAATATTCTACGCCAAACTTTCTAAAATATAAAATTATTTTTCTTCGTTTTTTCAGATGGAACACCCAGTATATTATTTTTTTATTAAATTGAGAATTAAAAAATGAACATTTTTTGTATTTAAAGCATTTCAAAATTTTTAATAGTTTTGCGGATATACGCAGTATTATTTCATATGGCGCTTTCAATGCTAAAATACGAAAGAAAAATCATTGGGTGGCTTTGATAAAAATTTACTGTGTAAAATGCCATATGAAATATAAAACCGGGAATATCTGCGGAACCGTTAAAAATTTTGAAATACTCTAAATACAAAAAGTGTTCATTTGTTAATTCTCCATCTATTGAAAAAAAAAATATACAGGAGGTTCCATTTAAAAAAAACGAAGAAAAATTATTTTATATTTTAGAAAGTTTGGCGTAGAATTTTGAACATCCTGTATGATTTACGATTTCCATACTTATAGCAAAGTAAGTACAGACTATCTAAAGTAAATATCTAATATAGTTTTGATTTCAGGATAGTTCTTGTATTATTAATAATTTTTTTAAGAAAGACATAAAAATATATAATTTTTATTTATTTATTAATATCTCTGAAATTATCAAAATATATTTACTTATGTCTTAGGATTATGTAAAGTGATCTGAAAGGAAGCAAAAAATGCAATAATATACAGGGTGTTCCATTTAAAAAAAATCATCCCGATTCACTCACACTTTTTTGAGCCACCCTATAGAAGTTAAAATATTTTCCTGAAATAGATCCTAGTACATACTTTAGATTTGCACTTAATCAAAATTCCCAAGTTTGTTATTCTAGGAGCTACAGATGCCCGACGCACTATTGCCGGACCCTGTATGTGTAGCATATTTAGTTTCATAAAAAAGTTGCAAAGTAATGTGAAAATTGCATCATTGTATCTCTACTCATAAACGAGAAATCCCATAAAACACACGAAAATGGGATACCCTGTACAGATGTGTGTATGTAGTCTACCGGCAGCCAGACGGCCCGGACTTTGGTCAGCAGAGCATAGCAGAAGATATACTAAAGAACCAGCTTTCTTAAAATTATCGTTTTCCCGACGCCGGGCCGACGTTGCTAGCTCTTGTACTGTTATATTTTTATTAAGGTTAGATTTAATTTGTCAAAAAAGTGTCAAAACGTCCGTTATCGTACGATCTTTCTTCGGTGACGGGCTGGAGTAAAAAATGTACCGATGAAAAGTAGCGCGAAAATGCTATGACCAATCAGAGCACCGTCGGACCATCGTATCAACGGATAACGGACACATGTAAATCAAGCTTTATAGCTATTAAAGAAAAAGTTCTAAAGGGGGATGTTTTGTGAACGCAAATGTCTTAAGTCCAATTTTCAGTCAGTTGCTGTATTTATATGATATTGATCATAATATACGTTTAAGATTTTCGTCATGCTATTATGACTTTATTTTTAAAAGCTGCTATACATTAAAAAAAAAAAAGAAAATAAAATGTGCATAACAGTGTTTTATACAAATTACTGATGCTTTACAGTTTAATTAATATATCAAGCACAAAAGTACAATCTATAAAAGTATCTGTAAATATGTTCAGATACGTATATTCTACGATATTCGTTAACTACCTGTGTGGGCATTCTGGAGGTTTTATGCTGAGCATGGATGTAGGTAATGCTAAAGCAGGATTTTTAGAAATTTCCATCCACGTTAAAACAAAATTCCCAGTTTCTCTTTTCAAAAACTCCACTACAAAACTTCGACCATTTCTGAAAATAAAAATCATTAAAATTAAAGACAAAATTACAATTACTACATCTTTATTAACATGTTTAATAACATGTCTTAGATGTGTCTAAGAGTAGGTAATTAATACGTAGTAATTAATACTTGAACGTGTATTAAAGTATAATTTATTTGTTAATCATGAAGAAAAGGTGTTGTATTTTGGGTTTCAAAGGAAATGTTCTACTTTAATGATGTGCGTCAAATCATAGAGGAGCTAGAGTTGTTGTTATATTTATAGGTAATATCAATATGTTCACAATTTTGCCGTTTCTGATACACACCTTGTTGTAAATATCGCCATATTATCATAACAGCAAGTAGTGTAGTGAACATATTAAATACATCTTTAAAGAAACATCGTAAAAACCTTCAAGAGACCGAACTGAAATTAAAAAAAGGCTTTACCCCGAAGTGATACTTTTAACAGTGCGAACAATACAAGAACTAAATGAGTTCAAAGGGGTATATATACAGAGTATAAAGGGGTAGTGAAGAGGTAGTGGATGGATCAAGCTAACAGTTAGAAGTGTAACAATTGCCATTTCAATAGCAATGGTCACAAATTAACATCATTTTTACTTAACCGATCAAATATTTACACAGAAAAACATTTGCTCTTAATTTACAAATTTTGGTCTCTAATGCTTAGAAAAATAAAGTGATAATAAAATATCTTTTTACTCAAAAGGAAAGTTAAAAATTTACTCAACATCTAAATTTCTTTAAGTACTACCTGCTTTGCAATTTTTTATAGCTGTACATGCTCCATCCTTCTGAAAAAAGTTCGACAACATCTTCAAGATCTTCATATTGTGGACAAATCACTCGGACTTCTTCAGTCCGGCCCGCTGGATATATGAGAATCCGATTTTTGCTGGGGCATAAACGGCTGTCCCTTCGCTCGTTCCCTTTAACTTTTAGATAAATAAAGTTGCAATCTTCTTCTGGTTCTATTAGCCAAGGTTGTTCCAAACAGTACCTAAAAAGTTATGATAGAATGTAGACTATCCATAAATTGATGTTAAATATGCATGATAAAAAACTGGTAGAATTATTTGGCATCGAACATTGATAGTTTGAATTTTATTCAGTAGTCTTTATTAGATTGCTTATTTAACGTCCATACCAATCCATATATTTCACTAAAAAAAGTTTCTAATATTTTTTTAAGTTAACTATGGATGGGTTGGAAAATGTTTCCTTTCCGTTTTTTTTCATCTGAGTATAGAAAATATATGCAGGGCGGGTCTTAAATAAGTGCAAATATTTTTAGGGCTGGTAGACCTCGATAAAAGAAACATTCAGTTTATAATCATCTGCTGATGATGCTAACATGGTTAGCGAAACGCGCGTCCAGTGTAAAAGTAAAAGTGTTTTGGTGTATTGTGGTGATTTAGTGTTTTATATTGCTGTGTAACACCAAAGGTTCCAACCCTCAACTGTAAGTTTCTAAAGATTCTTGACTGATATATTTAATTGCGAAGACAATCTTTGAGTGCTGGTTGTTTTTTAGGGTTCCGTACCCAAAGAGTAAAAAGGGAACCCTATTACTAAGACTTCGCTATCCGTCCGTCCGTCTGTCACAAAGGTCTATCTTATGAACCGTTATAGCTAGACAGTTAACATTTTTACAGATAATGTATCTATGTTGCCGCTATAAGAACAAATACTAAAAACAGAATTAAATAAATGTTTATAAATAAAAAAGTACTTTCACTAAACATTATCTTTTAAGTAAGAATTTTACATAGAATCTTTCAAGTTCTCGGTGGCCGCGTGGTTAAAGCGTTAGGGACTTTACGCTGCTATGACGTTGGAGCCGTAGTAAGGCAGGTTCGAATCCTAGTCAACTTTTAATCGTTTTTTTTTTAATTTTTATATATTTTTACATATTTTTTTTACTTTTTACATATTTATTATTGATTAATACAATTTTTAGTAATGTGTTTCTTCATTTTTTTTTAAAATACTTATACTTATCATTCAAAATTTCAGCTAAATCGGAAAAAAAGTTTTTAATATAGTGTCTAATGTTGTATAGATAATGAATGGTACGGAACCCTTCGTGTGCGAGTCCGACTCGCACTTGACCAATTTTTTTTCTTTAAATTATAAATAAAATAAATTGTATCAACTTAAAAGCACTTTGAATCTAGTAAACACATTCACTTCGAATTTTAAAACTGTTTCAACTGTTTTATAGGTTTCACCTTCTCTACAATAGAGGCGCTGTTTGGCTTTAGAGGTATGCTTAATAGTTCTATTCATCTAATTCGCGCAAATTAGTTTCTGACTGATGCTGGTCCATTTAGTTCTCACCAGAGACAATCCCACTAAATAATCGTTCCAATAGATTGTTCGCAAACTACATACCTCTACGCAATTAATTTAGTCTTAAATGCCCTTGAATACGCGAAACAAGGAAGGTACATTGAAACAAGGAATAACATTGTACAAGATATACAAAAAAAAACAACTGGAGTGGTACGGCCATGTACAGCGAATGGCTAACGACAGAATACCAAAGTAAGTGTTGCAGTGGACCTCTACAGACAGAACGAGGCCGACCTAAACTCTCCTGGAATCAAGGAATCGACAGAGCCATGTCGGAAAGGAACCTACTACCAGGAGATTGGGACAATAGACGGAGGTGGCGCATGGAGACTGGAGGGCGACGAAGGACGTTCTAAAACCGGACATACATATAAATGCTCTTAAAACGTTCGCCGCGAAATAGTTAATTTTATATCTGCATAAGGATGCCCCTCTCTAATAAGACGCCAAAACTGTGAACGGCTTTGACAGTTGACAAAATAACAACCAACAAAATAATGTTAACTATTCTAATTATAAAATGAACAAAGAATCGTTTTTAATTTTGTTAATTAAGTTCATTATTTTCTTATTCTAAAAATTGCAATGTCACAAGGAGATTGATAGAAAAAAAATGTTTCTCGTGTAATTTGTATGCATTGGGAAAAAGTATTTTGTATTAAATTAGGGGGAGTGAAAAAGTATAGTAGTTTGGTGTATTGTGGTGAATTAGTGTTTTATTTTACTGTTGAAACACAAAGAATTCAACTCTCAACTGTAATATAAATTAGGTACAAAGGGTAAGACACTTAAAATCGAGTAAAAACAATTTATTATACGCAAAACACACGTTTTATGTACTCGTTATTACAGGTAGAGAGGTAATAATTGCTAGTATGCGAAAGGTGTAATTGTATAAGATTTAGTTCTCGTTATTTCTAATTAAACTTAAACCGGTTAAAGGGGTGTGTTTTTATACTGAAATAGATAAATTATAATCATAATGGCTTAACTAGTATCTCTGCACTTTACAATACAGGATATTTTGTTCACGCCTTTGATGAATTGTTTACCCTTTTTCTCAGGGCTCGTAGATTCTTTACTTGTCAGTGGCAATTTTTCGTATGAATAAATTAGAAATATAGGTCATAAAGGAAGTGGCAATATTGCATTCCTCTTCGTGCCGTAAGTATGGTAATATCAGAGATTAAAAAATTATACCTTGGGAAAATTTGCCGTGAACAGGCAGTTCTAAAAAGTTTTCTAAAAATATATAGGGAAATTCTTTTAAATTTCCCTGTATACTTTTAAATTTTCTGTGTACTTTTAAATTTCCCTGCAATCTTTTTTTTGCAAAAAAACTCATAGACGTGTTCCTGGGGTCGAAATATACCACCTCTGAACATATTTGCACTTATTTAAGACTCATCCTATATAAATCCGTCGTCTCTTGTTGTTTTTAATCAGTTTTATTGGTTTATTTTAAAAATGGTAGATCATATTTCAATATTATTGGAGTGACGGAGTTATTGTATGAACGATGCACGGACGCAGATGGGTATGAACTGGACTTAAGATTGTTTGTTTGTCAAACTCTTGCCAAATTAAAGGTTATTATTTGTGTCAGATTATGTCAAATATTTGTATATAGTTGCGAATTGTTTTTGTATTTTGGTTAGTGTTATTACGTGTGTTTTGTGTTTTTTGAAGTTAAATGGAAGAAAAATCCAAGGAAAATTAACTGTAGACCCAGAACACAACAGTTTATAGTTACGATTCAGTGCCCAAAGGGTCATCAATAGCTACCAATAAAGTTTGTATACAATCACACGATACCATCACAACATAAACGTTAAAACAATTATAGCTAAATGACAAACTTTTTAAGGTATACAATTCAGTGTTATTATTAATAAAATATTTTGTTTTATTTATGTTGTGTTTTATTTATTCATGTGTAATATTAAAACAAATATTTGTACAGAGAAGTTATATTCATAAATATAATAATAATTGCCGGAAGTTTCTTAAAGTTTGAAAGAAAAAAAGAGTTCTTTTTAATATTTTTTTAGTATGTGGTGTTTTGTTTAAAATACTTCCTTCTTTGTTTTGTAATAATACAAACCGTAATTTAATCACATTAAGACCGTCATTATCTCAGTTTTATACAGTTTTTCTTATAATATTTTGATGTAATCACTTCATAGATAAAAGAAACACAAGGAAGTGCTCATAAGGACAATGTAAATACTATTATTTGGCGCTATTCTTGTAATGGTCGCGACCCAAAGCTTTTGATAATTTCGGAGCCGTTCGGCGTTTTCCGAAATTATGTCGCCAAATACAGGGTGGTCCGAATAGTATTCCGGAAACTTCGGCAGCATATTCTTCAGATAAAAATAAGCGATAAAGTTCCTATAAATGTATGTCCTAAAATGGTTACTTTCGGAGATACAGGGTGTAGAAGTTTCACTTTTATTTCGAGTTTTTCCATAATAATTTCTGAATTAACGTCAATATTTGGATGAAAATTGGTGTCTAGGAGTTTTTTGACATGAGAAATTTTATTTTGATGTCAATATGACTCCTACATGTAGAGGGCGCCATCTACATATTTTTAACTGGTTTGAAAAGTAATAACTTTTCGTCCGTACCTCTATAAAACTACTGAGTAAAAAAATATACATTTACGATGTTTTTTACGTAAAAATGGTCTCTTGGTAAAAATCGCCACGAGTAATGGTTCTCGAGATATTTGGAATCGAAATTATCAATACCTGCCATCATTGACATAAATTATACATATTGACTAAATAGTTATTGTGTTTGCTTCATTCACGTTACCGTAGATGGAGCTAAGAAGACTTAGGTAGGGTATATATAAATAAACAAAATACGAGTAGCGGAAAAAGGGGCTAAAAAACCCTACATACTTGCTCTAAATAGTTATTAGACTGAAATCATAAATTTGAAATCCTTTGTGCTAAAAGTTTAACAGAAACTAATTTATCATCATTTTTTCGAAGAAAAATTTATGATTAATTTAAAAAAATAAAAAGTTCCCAAATTTATCATTTCAATCAAATAACTACCCACTCAACACGTTCATTTTTTGTCAATAATGACATGTATTGACTATTTCCATTCTAAATATCTTGAGAACGGTTGCTCGTAGCGATTTTTTTCAAGAAGCATTTTTTACGTAAAAAATCACGGAAATGTATATTTTTTCACTCAGTAATTTCATACAGGTATGGACGAAAAGTTATTACTTTTCAAAACAATTAAAACACATGTAGGTGGCGCCCCCTACAAACAGGAGTCATATTGACATCAAAATAAAATTTCTCATGTCCAAAAACTCCCAGACACCAATTTTTATCCAAATATTGACGTTGCTTCAGAAATTATTTGGAAAAAATCGAAATAAAAATGAAATTTCTACACCCTGTATCTCCAAAACAAATCATGTTATGGCATACATTTATACGAACTTTTTTACCTATTTTTATATGCAGATTATGCTGCCGAAGTTTCCGGAATACAGTTCGGACTACCCTGTATATTATTTATTCAAATTTATTATTATTTTCTTTTAATTTCATAAATAAAACACAGTGTGTTTCATATAAGAAGCTTATATATACATGGTATATTTTACTAACCTATAAATTAATAAAGTTATAGGGAGGTTATAACATCCTCAATTAGTGAAATACTTACTGTATAGAGTGGTTGTGGTTTAAAAATGCTTCACTTTCCATAAAACTTTCTTTTCTATTGTTTAGTATCGTAATTTCTCCGCTAGACCCTCTCAATCGTCTACTTTTCCATGGATTTAGACAATTGTAGTTGATAGGAACGACTTCGTAGTTAGCATCGAAAAGATAACTGTTGTAATCTTCGGTTCCTTGCATTTTAGTAACTAAAATATGAAGAGTAAGAAATTGTGGTTATTTTTACTAAAGAAGTTAATATTAACTACTAACCTATAAATTTCACAGCAAATTTTAATGCTGGTTTGGTTGTGATTACAAACGGTTGATCAGTTATGTTGCTACAAATACAATCACGTTTGACTTCAATATCTCTCCATGGATATTCCGAGAGAGATATTCTTGCTATGCCGTCGTATTCTGATTTTACGTGACATTGCCACCTGTAATTTGTAATAAAATTGAATATAGATCTATATAATTAATAAAAATTATTAAATAAATCAAGATCAAGTAAGAGAGGCTACGTGAGAAATTTTCAGATTTCATGTTAATCCAGTGGTTTACACATTTACATAATTTGTTATTATATTAAGTAGAGAAGAAAATACTATAGAGGCACACGTCATTAATTTAGAACAAATACACTCATATAAATACCTGAGAGGCAATATCAATTTGAGAGAAAATTAGGAGCTTAACCAGAAAAAAAATGTTAACATGGCTGATATATCGCTGGCTGGGTCGAGATTTCCGGATGTAAGAAGAGTACAATGCGTTTATAATGTACTGAACAAAGAGAGAACAGTAAACACGTTGCCAAACTTATGAAATAAACCGAGAAACTGTGCACATTGCTAAGAGACGTGGAAGGAGATATAGAATAGGGTGTCCGTTATTTACGAAGTTGATCATTTCTCTCACTATGCCCTCTAAATTTTTAGTTTATTGTATAAAAAAATAACAGACCATTGTAATCCCTTAATATTCATAATAAACCTTGCCCCAAAGACGATTCATTTCCCATTTAAATTATATGGGAATTTTCCACTTTTTGAAAATGTTTTTTTTCTTTCGATCCTGTTTTCTAGCAGCCATGACAATCACATAGTGTACAAAATAGAACGCTCTACAAAAAAGGCCTCTCACAATTTTTCGATAAACCTACTCCTTCAAAAGTTATTCACGGTTAAAGTTAACCACTCGGTAAATTCCTACATTTTTCAACTTTTTTGACAAAATTATGATTATTTTTGGAAAATTTAATATATTTTTTCAAGAAAAAGCAATTTTCATGATACCATGATAAACAATTTTGAATCATGGAAAACAACTGTATGCATGACAGGTAGTTAATTCTAATACTTATTATTTTTGAGCTTGTATTCTTTTGCAGTACTTACTTAACTAATTTTAAGTAAGTTCGGTAAATTTCTGTTATTATAATTATTTACAGAATTAAAGATTTCTTAATTCCCAACCTTAACATCATAATAATTTTGTTAAAAAAGTTGAAGAATTTAGGAATTTATGGAGTGGTTAACTTTAACCGTGAATCACTTTTGAAGGAGTAGGTTTATCGAAAAATTTTAAGATACTTCTTCTTGTAGAGCGTTCAATTCTGTTTAAGAATATGTAATTGTCATGGCTGCGAGAGAACAAGATCGAGGGAAAAATAATTATATGCAAAAAGTGGAAAATTCCCATGTAATTTAAATGGAAAATGAATCGCCTTTGGGGCAAGGTTTATTGTGAATACTAAGGGTTTACAATGGTGTGTTATTTTTTTTAAACAATAAACTAAAAATGTAGAGGACGTCGTGAGAGAAATGATCAACTTTCTACATAACGGACACTATAATATAGAAGATTCGTCGCGGTCGACCAATCGACCAAATCAGTACTTAAAATTCTAGGAAAGGGTGTGCATCATGCGTTCAGCTTCAAGATTTAATTACGTCTCGTGATACTTTATTTGTTTTATCCCTTAACGAGTCTTTTTTACCTACGAGATAATTTACCCTATAGTTTGTACTATTGTGGCGGCGCTTAAGCGCCAAGCTTGTTGCAAACAAATGTTGTTTACAAAGATAGTATAGTTTCCAAGTACGCAAATATTGCCAAGTTCATGATTCGCCAGAACTCGCCGGCAAAAACATTTTTTATAAATAAAAATATCTATAAGTGCGAAGATGAATGTTTATATGATACTATACTACCGAAATTACTTTTTAACATAAAAGTTTGATTCTAATAAAAATATGTAAGAGTAAGATTCAAAGTGTAATGAAGTTCATAAAATTTCTAGGACACCCTGTATATTGTGTTAATATTATACTAGAATAATAGAGACTTCATTCTCTTTTAATAATGACAGTCAATGTATATTATTGTTAACTCATTATTGTAATGAACTTCATTAGTGTTCCTATTGTTGAATTAAATATATTAAATATTTAATTGCCATTTTGTAAGAGAGTTTTGATCGGTTTTGGTCGCTATAGTTTAATGCGAAAAACCGAACCGTTTGCGCCGCTCGCCCTACTCTGCTAGTGCAGGCCGAGTGGAGGGGAGCGTCAGTCGAGTACCTTGGCTGCAGCAGCTCCAGTTAGGGAGTTGGTGGTCGCACGCACAGATCACGTAAATAGATTGGCAACTCTCATGCATTAAATATGTCCGGAAAATTTGAAAAAAAAACAAATAATGCGTGGCGACATCGGACGAGTGGACTGAAAATCACCTTTTAATTTAAGATTTCAAAATACAGGTATCTACTATAACTGAAGAAATATTTTACAGATTCCTTTCTTTTCAATATTTTGGTAGGGTGGTAAATTTAAAATAATTTTTTTCTTAGATATAAGCACCATTGTAAATAAACCCAAATTATTTGATTAAAAATTAGGTTTATATATAAATATTCAAAATTTTATCGTGTTTAATTTTCTTATTATATTACATATTTTATGCATGAAAAATACATAAAATGCAATATTTGTTTGATAAGAAAACAATAACATTTTCAAATATTTACAAAATAAACCTAACTTATAATCAAATAACTTGGTCTATTTACAAATGGTGTTTATATCTAAGAAAATAATTTATTTTTAAATAGATAAGGAACAGAATAATTAAACTAAACAGTAGCTTTAATATTATAATAAACATTCAACGTTAAACTAATAAAGCAGATGTCAAGTCTGTCTTGAATCCGGGAACACAGCATTTTCTATATGTCAGACTCATGATTATTTTTAAAAACACAACACACACACAGCACAGCAGTAAATTAAAAAAACACGCTTTGAATATCAAAGAAAAATAAAACAGAATGGCCGAACTAAGTCGTAAGAAACTCTGGCAACAAATGGCGAACGCCGGCTGTCAGCCATGCCGGCCGGCTTCTCTACCACGCGGCGGGGACGGTTCTGCGCAAGCGCCAGGTGTTTGCCAAGAAGGAGGAAAAATCGACATATGCGCCATCTTACGCACAATTTTGGTAATTAAATATATAATTTTCAGTCCACTCGTCCGAGGGCGCTCAAAATCGTATAAAATTTCAAAACATTTTGTCGTATTAAAGTTTCCCAGCCCTGGTCGCACGCGAAACAGTGAGGTTCGAGTCCGGAGAGCCCTGCCAACTGTCCTGCTGCCAGCCGCCTGTCGCCGCACTGTATAAGGTAAGCACCCACCGCCAAAGTGATCGAGGGTAGGTCGTATTATTTTTATAGTTATTAAGCGTTTACTCGACTACCTGGATGTATTATAGGGATAAGGGAGTTAGTTGACGGGATTGTTAGGATATTAAAAGCGCGGGAGAACAACCATTGCCGACCAGGCAAAGAGGGACTACGCTGTGCTACGGGTAGGTCGTCAGGAATGGTGGCCTTTTCTTTTAAAGGTTCTGTTTGACTATCTACTCCGGTATGGTATATCCTTCGGGTGCGGAGACGAGAGTTTTTAGTTTTCTTTATTAATATTAAAAATTACCAGGGTTGCCGACCAGGCAAAAGAGGGACTACGCTGTGCTACTGTATCAGGAATGGTGGCCTTTTCTTTTAAAGGTTCTGTTTGACTATCTGCTCCTGTTCAGTGTATCTCTAGGAAAAGCTAATTACGGGCTAATAATTTATTCATCTCCTTAAGGGACAGTCAGGGTAGTTCAGTAAACGCACGGGTCGCGAATGTTCATGGAGCTAGAACAAAATCTCGCCCAAATCCCGAGGCTGGTTTTGTAGCTCCTGTATTTTTCTAGGTGTGTCGTCCGGACGACACCCTGCTTCAGTGACGCTGGATGGGATCTCGCCGAAATCCCGAGGCTGTCCTGACCGGGCGGTGTGTGTGCGGGCTTCGCTCATCCGAACGAGGTACAACTCGCCGAGACGTCGCTAACGTCAATGTCGATCCGGAACTCGCGTTTGTATATCCCTCGCGACGCTGTTAACTTCGCGATAGATCCGGGACTCGCATTTGTATATCCCATGGGACGCTGTTAACTTCGTGATCGATCCAGGGCTCGCGTGTGTGTATCTCACGGGACGCTGTTAACTTCGCGATCGATCCAGGACTCGCGTTTATGTATCACGGGACGCTTTTAACTCCGACGCCGATCCGAGGTCCGTGTTTCGCTGTCAAAACGGACGCCGTTCCGATAAATATTTAGCTGTGACCATCGGGACGCCTGTAACGACGTCGCCGCCGTTTAGAGAGTCGCGTCGTAGTAGAGTGTGTTGCTCCGGTATCTACGTGTCTATGTTCATTAGGACGCCGCTAAATTCGACGCCGATCAGGAACTCGCGTCATCTTATTTAATAGAACGTCATTTCGGGAACGCGTTTTGAATTCGCGGGATAGAATCAGTCAGAGAGTTACGTATCGGGAATAATCGATCAAAACTCTAGAGGTGCACGGTTGTTATTGTAAATTTTACTTTACGGGTCTCTAAATATACATTTTATTTCACTATTGTTACGATTCGAGGACGTGAACCTTCCTTGATTACTTCTGTACATAAATAATTAGTTAAATAAAAACCTAGTGTTACGTTATAGTTAATTGTGTGTTTTATTTTCTTTTCATCTCATCACTCCCTGGTATCTCCACTGTATAAAAACTACCCGTATTGGCACTAGTGGTCTCTCAAACTCTTTAAACGTTGGAGGTGGCGCCCGAGGAACCGAACCAAGGCAACTTGGCCTCCGTGAGCTTTCTCAAAAACGGGGGAGTCTCACAAAAGAATGGGGATGTTATGTCTAAAAAAGTACTTGGGGTGACAAGAAGACCGAAGGGGGAATATTAAAAAAAAAAGAATTAAAGTAAAGTAGGCTCTTTAAAGTGAATATTTTCCATCACTCCAAAATTATTGAATAAGTTGCTCCAATATATGTGCAAACAAATAGAATGGAACGAATTGGGTATAAATATAAATGGCGAAATCTTG